CGGCCGCAGTTCGAAAATTTTATACAAAATATGGCCAAAATAGTGTTTTAACCCCGTCAACTCTGAAATGATTAATTGAAAAATTCAGGGCGACTGGATCAGTTGGAGACGTTAAACACACCGGTCGTCCAAAAACAAGCCGTTCAAATGTCAATATTGAAGCAGTGCGTGAGAGTGTTGGTAAAAACCCAGGAACATCAATTCGGTATCATGGAAAAGAATTGATAGAAAAACTTACTTAATTGAAACATTGTTCAATAATGAAAACACGTTGTTGTATCGTATAACGCTCCATTTTTACTAACCCTAAACTCTCAGCTGTCAAATTGTTCTTTTTTCAGGGGTGCCAACTAAGAAGTGATACCACCTTGAAATATTGTAATGGTCAATCGATGATGATGATGAATATGGATACTTAGGAAGTCTACATACAGTAAACTAGAATTAGAATTATATATAATATATATCTCTTAAAAATATAGAAATAGGTAGAAATATTCTATATAATTAAGTTGATTGGTAAGAAATAATTTGTCTTCTCCACAATAGTCAGTCACCTTATGTGGAAAAGACCATTTATTTCTTACCAATCAACTAATTATGGAGTTCCACAACATTAGACACTATCAAAACACTATCTAATTGAGTTAAATTTGTAGTACACATTGCCATTGGTGTGGGAATTAGCAAAAAAAAAAATTAATGGTTTTATGTTTTTCATATTAGCAAGAGAAATGATGTTTGATTTAAACTTTTAGAGGTCACCATGAACACCATGGGGCCTATGAGCCGAGAGTTTAGAGACTCAGCTCTTAGTTTTAGAGACTCAGCTACCAAGGCATTGCACATAATTTGTGCACAAGTAAATTCCAGTCATGTAGGAAGATAGTATGAGAAAAATAGTTTAAATGTAAACCTTAAAGAAACTAACTCATACCTTTAATGAAAAGAATGAAGCTCAATATAAAAGATTTCACTATAAAGAGTGAAGCCTTAGCTTTTTTCAAAGAAACAAAGTACCTTGGTATGCCCGTATACCAAAGGCTCAAATGGGGAATAGGCAACATTCTGCAACACGCTAAGGCTCTACTAAACATTGGCCAGAGATTATGATGTAAAAATTTGGGGAATAAACCCCAAAATGGCATTCTGGTTGTACACCACAATGGTCAGATCCTTGTTCTCATATAGAGCTCTAGCAAGGTGGCCAAAAACACCGAACAAGGAGACACAGACCGAACTTCAAGTCTAAAAAGACTAGTGTGTCTCAATATGACAGGGGCAATGAATACCTGCCTTATTACAGCAATAGAAAGAGGATCAGTCCTTTCATCAATCCTGTTTAAATATATGGTGTTTAGTGACTGTTAGTTAATGATTATTTGGAGATCGTGAGATGCGGTCTGGTGTGACATAGGTTTTAGAAAAACTCTCAACACAACAGACAAGAATGAGACATCTACACGGAAAGAAAACACTTTGAGCCCTGAAGATGATCTCAGTAAGATCAAAACGTTGGCACGATAACGGAAATGTTTTTGAAAATGCATCTTACAATGTCCTGTTTAATCTGTGCACGTACGACTTTCCCTCTGTAGTTGGTGTAAATGTAGCAGTCTACGCAGACAAAACAATCAAAACATCTTAGACTCAAAAAGCAGTTCAGGATGCTTTAAAGTATACATCAAATTATTGTGATAAATGGAAACTGGAGATAAACTTTTCAAAGTGTGAAACAAAAATCTTTACCATGAGACCCACCAGCCTTACAAATTTAGGAAACGATATTTCATGGAATCCTCCTGATGGCTTTATGAAGTACCTAGGAGTCTGAAGCCTATCCACAGTCTTTGCCAGGAGACTGAAGGCTATCCTGGAAGAACCACATAAATAAATAGGTGACCAAAGGATATGCTTGTCTGGGTCTGCTATGTCCTATTATAAACCGCAAATCCAATATAAGGCCCAAACTTGCTATGCTGATTTATAAATCTATCATAAGGCCCCTGGTCCTTTATGGGTGCGAAATATGAAGAGCAGTGTCTTCATACAAAACAAAGTGGCGGCAAATATTGCAAAATAAAATCATGCGGTTGGCAATAAATGCTGAGTAGTACATGAGGAACAACCAGATACATAAAGAACTACAACTTCCGACTATATAAGAGACAATTCACGAACGATTTAACAAGATCCATTCTGGACTTAGTGATTGTGCTGTCCACTTCAAATCAGGATGAAAAAAATACGGCTGAAGCCACATATGTTACAAGGCATATGTAGCCTAGTGGTTAGTGTGATCTCGGCTCGTAGACCATGTGGTCGTGGGTTCGATTTTTTTCAATAAATGGCCCCGGCCTTTTTTTCACACTACTCTTCCACCAACTATATAAGATGAAATAATCATTGGAATCGCATTCTGGTCAACATGCAAGCTCATAAGGTCATTAAAATGCTTTTTTCCGTTTTCTCAGTTTTATTTTATTTATTTTTTATTTAAATTTTATTTAAACAGTGTCAAGATTTAATTGGTTAATCATTGCTGTTTTAAGGATTACGAGGATTGTTGCCATCAGAGGGTAAATGTCATTTAAATATTTTCAACTTTACATGAATGCTGTATGCCTTTCTTTGATGTTAATTTAATTGTTTTCTTTTCTCAGGTGGATTTACAAAACGTAAGTCAACTCTCTCTGCTGGCAGTCAGGTTAGTGAGCATGTTAGTATTAAGGCATGACCGAAACACTTTTCAGGCAGACACATTTTTATGCATTAACGTTATCAAAAATTAATTATTGTTATTATGTTACGTCTTGGTTGAGATGAAAAAGTTAGTGTGACGAGTGGGATTCGAACCCACGACATTCGGCTCAAGCCGCTGCTCTAACCACTTCACCTCAACCGAGACTTACAAAAAAAAGAATAATTTATTGAAATAAGTACTATCGTCAATCAGACCATCTAAACATAAATGGACTATAAAAAATATAGATATTATCGGTGATCCTAATCTTTCACTAAATATCCTGACAAGATTTTTCAACGATAAAACAAAACGGCTTAAAACCCAGAATCAAAGTTGCTTCGATTTTAATGGAAAATCTAAAAAACCTATTCTGTTAATATAATTATCCCCCTGTTTATTAAATTCATTCTACACATAAACAGCGCTTAAACCTATAATAAAACTCCACCCCCTCACCAAGTTGTAAGAATGTAAGTTTTTACATATTTTTTTGTCATAAATTATTATTATATAAATATTTTTTATTACACCAATACACTTATTAGACATCTTACTGTGATTTGAAGCACCCAAGGAAAGCAACGATTCCAATACTTTCTGTAAGGTCTCCCTGTCAGCTTCCGACTTGAAGTAATTAATATAAACTGAACAAAAATGAATAGGGATATTTGTAATTTATTCTTATTACTTTAATTAAAATTAATTAAATTAATCAATATATTCTTATAATATATCAGTTACTTTAGTTAAAATTAATATAATCAGAATAAATTACCAATATCCCTATTTATTTTTGCGCAATTTAGTAACACAAGGATTTTCCTGTAATGAACTTCTCAAGTTTTGATACGCCAACTTTTCATTGCAAATGAGACTAAGAACTGTACCCTTTCCAAAAACCATAGCTGCGTGTCTCCCCAGCAAAGTTGAGGCAGGTTACGAGCACTCTTCAATCTGCAAAAGTGCACACAGTCTTTGACAAGGAAGGACCAGCATCCTCACAGTTTGATACCCCGACTTATGCCAGATCATTACCAGAAATGTAAAACCAGAGACCGTCCTATTTCTGATTCCTTTCACTGCCACCAGAAATGGTGTGATACTCATCACCAATCCCTGGGGATGGACTCGGAATTTCTTTAGTACTGATTTTAATGTCTGATTAAAAAAAAAAAAAATTAAATATTATATAAATTATTAAGAATCCAAATACTATAAAACGATAGAGTATTATTGTAGTTACAACACAACATGTTTTGTGGATTAATTTACACAATACAGAAAAGGAAAAATTGGAAAAGGAAAATGTAACAACTGAAGAAAAAGAAACTGGTGACAAATAAAAAATATTTTTTTGAATAAAAATTACAAGTTTAAGCATCAAGACAATATATTTAAAACACATTTATTACATTTTAAATAATATTTTGCTATTATAATTTGAGAAGAAAGAAATAAAGTAAAAGCATCTGTAAACATTAAAAGAGAAAATGTAATAAAAAAAGATATGTATACGAGCAGATTCTGACTACTCGTTTAACCAGCCGAAACGGCCAAAGCGTCCTTGCTTTAAGAAAGAAAAAACAAGCAGATTAACATTTTTTTAAATTAAAAGGATATTATAGCCTCTATAGACTTCCATTTGTTTTTGTTTTTTAAATAAAAGTGAAAAGAAACGAAACATTGGAATGTTTTCTAATTTAATATGTCATGGTCGGTTTTTCTTTACAATTCCTAGTTAGATTTCAACTACCAACAGGGTTTAAAACCAAAGAGAAAGGTTAAAAAAAATAATATAATAAAAAGCGATTAAATAATAAACACACGACATTAAAAGTAACAAATATACACTTAAAACCCCAGTTATTCAGAAATGTTCAAACCTCATTTAATGACGTCGAACGGTATTACAGGAAAAATCATTTCTGATTTGTTTAGGAACGACTTCATCTAGACTAAGCATAAGATGATATCCTTATATTTTAAAATACTGTAGTTTATTACAAAGGAACATTATAACTGTGACGTCCTTTGATTTAAAAAAAAAAAAAATCTATCACTAGAAGTGCTGAGTTAAAAATAAACGTATTATATTTAAAATGAATCTTTCTTAATTACTAGTCATTCAATATTACATTTCATATTGTCATGCATAAACTGAAACATTAAGTGTGTACAGTACGTAATAAAGTTTAATTAGTTTTACAATGTTTTAATTGATTTGATAAAAGGGGTTCATTAGAAATAAAAAAAGTAAATGTAATTCATTTTCACATTTAAAACAGAAAAACCTTCTTTGGAATAGACAAAACAGAATTTATGCTATGTGTAAACTGTCAGTTGAACAGAAACGTAAGACCACGGTGAATTTTTTTTTTTTAATTTATTTATAATTATTAATTTTTTTTAGGGGGATCAAAACATAGTAAAGCTATAGCACAGTGGGAATTTCATTTCAACTAGAAAACGTACGACTTTGTTTACAGATCCCGCCGTCTGGGTCGGATTGAATCGAAGGACGTGATCGACGGGATGAAATTTGCTTCGCCGTCATCTGGACGAGAATATGTTCAGGCTGCTTGTCACTCCTCGTTTTCTAACGAGACGAGCTGCAACTAATTTAAAACAAACAAAAAACCATTTTTATTTTATTTATTTTAAATTATATACTAAAAGAACAAAAACACTCGTATTTATTTGTTCATTTTTCATAATAATAAAGATGTAATATAAATAAATATAAAATAAGTAATAAATGTAAAAAAATAAGTATAGGTATAAAGAATAATAGTTCACTTACAATATAAACACAACATTAATAACTTGTTATTAACCTGTACAGTGTTACTAACCCTTTTACACTCTTTTGACTAAAAATAAATCAGTTCAATTTTATGTTTTCCAGAGCCAACTTGACGAGTGAGTTAATTGGTTTTTTTAAATTGTTTTCTGAGATGAAACAATAAATTTGAGTAATAAATTTTTTTTCTCAAAAGTGGGGTTAAGACAATAAGATTTCGCTCAGGCAGATGCTTTGACCGATGATAGATGTCCAATAAATTATTAGTTAAATTTTAATCTATTACTAAAATGATTTTCCGGTTTTTGGTGAATTTCTGGTCCAATATAACGATAAAAATACATATAGTATATGTACCGCCAAAGCGAGTACTAAAAATACATATAATTTGAAATAAACAACAAAATACTTTTTTTTTTTTTTTTTTTTTTTTTTTTTTTTTTTTTGCATTTTTTTTTTGAAAAGTAGAGCAGAAAAAAATAATCACTCACATGCATTGTCCTGAGTGGACAGGGGGATCTCCAGTACTGAACTGATAGTCTGGATCCATTTATCTCTGACCGAGGACTCCTCGGCTGCCAGGTAGTACCAACGGCCGGGCGTCCTAAGTGTAAACGAATGGCCCTGGTCACGTACTCCTGCTGGGACGCCGACGCGGACCGAGTAACCTTCTGACATGTGCCCTAGGAATACCTCGCCTTTTGGATGCGCTGACTGAAAATAAAATTTACACTGAAAAACTCCCAATAAAAAATGTTCCATATTCCATACGAAAAACAAACAAATTATTAATTTTAAAAAATAATTGCAAAATACCAATGGATCTTCATGGTACATGAACTTTCTTTGGTCAAGTGTAAACCAGCGCTTCTTGTATGCGTCAGTTGGACGAGGCCCCGTCTTCCAAAGCCAGCCTTCTTGGAGAAAGTCTTTTGTAAGAAAACTAACCAGCTGGAAAAAAAAGTTTTATTAAAATTCTTCTTTTTTTCCGTTTTTTTCTTATACCTGTGCTTGGCTTGCAGTGGGAAACGCTATCTGCAATCGGTGTAATTTGGTACATCGGATTGCATTGTACCAATTGACAATGGTTTGTGGGTCGTCGTGGTACACGTACAAGTGCCTTGTTGAACCGTCTTTCCAATAGCTGATTTGGAATGAATTCTTTTTCTGAAGCTTTGCCGGAGAGAAAGAGACGTTGATGTCAGACACTCGCATCACGGCTTTCGGGTCTTTCCTCTGAAAACAAAAATGATCACACAATTGCACAAACGTGACCATGTAATAGGACTGAAACATATAATTATTTGAGAACTAGAAGCACCTCATCAACATAATATTTTAAGGTGTCATCGACCTCAGAAAGGGTGAACTTCCTTGGGTAATACTTAGGATCTTCCTTGCCCCGTTTCATGAGGAAGCCTTCCATGTGGCCTGCCATGAAGGCTTGACGCTCCGGCCTTGAAAATTCCTCTCTGAGATACTTAGCGCAGATCCATTCTTCAAGAAGAGATCTAAAATAATATAATCAGTCATATATTTAAATAAATAGAAAATAAACAGTTTCATTCGGATTTTATCTTACTCTTGATCGCCCTCTACTGGGATGCGATAACACGGAGGAACCCGTTTTTCATACTTGGCCTTCGCGACGAGATTGCCTACCTCCCTCATCCTCTGTATCTGTGAATCCTCCCACCGGTCCAGCCGGACGTGTTTCACCTTTGAGATGTGCGTTCCCATGCCCCGGTGTATCCCAGCACACCGAGAGCACAAGAAAATGCCTATATTGTAAGACGCCCATTCTGGTCCTGTTTACACAAAAATAAAACTTGTCAATAAGTAGAAAATTTGAGGCTGTGAATCTCTTCACCACTGCTAACCAGCAAGCGGTTAGGATGGCACAACTCAACCCCCAAATTATCCAAACCCCTCCCATCACACATTGTAAACCTACCTAAAACACCAGGCATCCTTCTGACCAATTCCAATCCTTTAATAAATTATCCCGTTTGATTAAAAATCCGCTGCAATAAAACTATGACTTCTACCTATCCAAACTTACCCTCTCTTATAAATCACTCTGGACAGCCATGAAAAGACCCTTGAAACACCACATTCAAGATAATGGATCATGGGTCAAAGCTGATATATTTGTTCAACATTTCCTCAAAATCCTCACTCCTCATTCTGAGCCTGACAATGTTTCAATATATCTCCCCTTCCTACGTCCTCTACCTGAAAGCTGTCACTCCCACTGAGGTCAAATGTATCTTGTTACGCTTTCCGAACTGCAAAGGTCCTGGTTTTGACCTAATTACATCCCAAATTCTCCAACTCACTCAAAAAGCAATTTGTATTCTTTACATAAACCTACAATTCTACATTCCGCACTACTCATTTTCCCTTTTTCTAGAAACATTCGAACATCATCCTCGTCATGAAAGTCACGACAATTTTTAATTGATTAACATTCCGTTTTTATTTTTTTAATATTGTAATTTTAAAGTTAAATTATTATTTATAATGAAGCAAATATTATTTTATTTTCAAACAAACAATTATTTATTTAGAAAAAGTCTTACTTTGTATTAGTCTAAACTTGTTAAGTCAACAAAATTTTGTTATTTTTGTTTTCATTATATAAAAATGTAAATAGTTCATTTGCCAAACAAATTGTTAGAAAAACTAGCGAAGCTCTTGCCATAACAAGTAGTAGCTTGAGAGCAGTCATGGTGTCTACTTCTTGTATAATCAAACAGTTAACAAGTTGGCAAAAAAAATTTTTGTTTCTTTTTGAGATTTTTCTATTTTATGTCAAAGTAAATTCACTATTTTTCGTGGTCCGCTTGACCAATTAATAACATTTAATTAAGGTGTTGTTTTTTTTTAAGTTGAGATAAAAAAGTCAGTGTCACGAGCGGGATTCCAACCCACGACATTCGGCTTGATACACCGCTACTCTACTACTTGAGCTATTATGACTTCAACTTCTACTTCTATATTGTAATTCGTGTTTTATTTTATTTCTATTATTTCACTGCGCAAGGACCTGCTAAATATATTTTTTTTTATTATTGTTCCTCTCAGAAGGTATCTGGATAAAAGATACCATAAACCTACATTACATCCACTTCCTGGAACCTGGCAAATCAGTTTAAAAAAACCTTTATTTTCCTTAAAAGACACTATTCCCAAAATTAAACTCCTCTAACATTCTCTAACATACCATCAATTTGGGTTTTGCCCCCATTATTCCACAGTTTTGCATTGTAGACCCAGCACTTCCCAAACTTTTTCTGTTTCTGGCACCCTTAATATATCAGAATGTTTCTGCGGCGCCTGAAGTCAAAACAATTGTCTATCTTTATGATAGTAGTAGTAAGTAATTCATTTCCAATCCAGAAAAGCATTGATATGTCTAAACCTCTTATTTTGTCTGCAATTTTATTTAATAAATAATCAAAACTCCTGACTTTCCTGTGAAATTGAAAAACTTGCCTTTTGAAAAGTGATTACGCTCTTAATAGCAAATATATATATAAAGGGGGGTTTTTAGACTTTTTTATAAATAGAAAAATAATATTTATTATAGAATTTTTTCACGGCATCCTTGTAGCTCCAGCACACAGATTGGGGATCACTGTTGTAGACCATATATCACCCTCCCTTGAGCTAAAATAACATAGCATGGGAGCCTTTCTTGATGTGGCACAAGTGTACTCCTTTCTAAGGAGTAGGTAGTTCAGTTTATTTAATAAAATGAAGTGAAGTGGAAGAATAATATCGATTATTTGCTCCCCTCAATGTAAAAATATCTTTGAATCATCAAATTACATGTTGTATCAGAAATTGCAAATTGTAATAAAATATTGGGAAAAAAGTCAACGTAAATTTTGAAACCTTATCTGGTCATAAAGATTAAAGACTTATAAAAACAAATGGTTGTATTGTATATACAAACAAAAATGCACCACTAAAACTACTAACCCTAAAACTAGCAATATTTATCTATTCTACTTTGACTTTTATTGTTTATGGTATTACAAAAGTTGTAAACACCCCCACTGTTGATTGTTTTTACTTTTGGCAATGACTAAATAGGATATTTAGGTCGAAAATAAGGTCATGTCAGATAACTTTTCAGGTCGTGACACGCTTCGATAATTTAACAAGCCGACAGCATTTTTAGGTTTCAAACAACATTATAAACAGAGAAAGCTAGTCAAATGAAAATGGCAAAACTTGCTGTTCAAAGTCAGTGTTGATTATAGTGACCTAATTTTGTTTCATCAAATTTCAGGCATAAATATACAAAAAGAAGTCCAATCATTAATAATATTTTCATAATTTAAAAAAAAAAAAAATACAAGTTTATATTTACTTTCTATTGTAAAAGGGACGATTTTCGTGAACCTCCCTATGTCGCTTTAGTCAAAATCGAAAAATTCTTAAGCTTCTTAATGCAACAAGTGATTTATTAACTTTCAAAAGAATTACACCACATTTAATTCAACTCGTTCTGTCATTTGGACAACGTCCAATGCGGCATTTACCAAAAAAAGGCCAAATGTTGTCCTTCTTGATAAACGGGGAGAGGCAAAGTGCCAGCAGACACTGCACCTGGCCGGCTGATCGTTGCAATTTTAGAAACTGAGAGACAGTTCCACGGAGATGATTTCATTGAAGTTGACCACTACAAAAATATGATTTATTCTAGAATGTTTTTTTTTTACCAGTGGCCAAATTCAATAATACTAATTATCATAAGATTTTCAAGAAATGCAAAAATTTTGAGATCCTACAAACGCCCTGTCAATCATGTTATTATTATTTTAATTATACTTTTACATTAAATAATAACAACTAACAGAACTATGTAATGAAATAAAATGATACAGAACAGAATATTTTTTCTAACAATTTGGATTTTCCATGGTGCCTTAACATACCACTCAATTAAAAAAAAAAAAAGCTATACAAGTCTAAAACTATTTTCTTACTTGTAAAATAACACTTGTCAAAGATTAAGAAAGAGGATGATTATTCATTTATTGTGCATCTCTATTGTTGTCTAGAGCTTGTCATTAAGCTTAAGGCTTTATACCAGATCCCAACACTTCCTAAACAACTCCTGTGTGTATCCTTCAAGCCCGGGTTTTTCAACATCAACAGTGCTGGGTCTGAACAATACCCTACCGACTCAAACCAGCTCTAACTATTCCAGACCATCTCAAACAGTACCAAACCATTTATAACCACCCCTAACCATTTTTTGACCATTTCTAACAATACCAAATCATTCCTAACCATCTCCTAGATTTTATTTAGATTAGAAGTTGGCCTTTTCATGGTCTACGAGCCATCAACAATATTGGCCAGTTGTGCGATCTCCATTATTATCTAAAGCTACTCATTAAGTTTAAGGCTTTTTACCAAATTCCAAACCTTTTTCAAAGACCCCTGTGTGTATCCTTCATGCCTTGGCCTTTGAATTTCGCCTGCATAAGCCTTTGCACCAACTCAGGACATGTTCCGTTGTCCTGGCACTCTTGTTCCTGCCACTCCAAGTATATATACTTTTAATTTCTGCAATGGCCCTTTGACACACATTTTTACATGCCTACAATTCAGGGTTTTGGCAGTTTGGTATGCCACAAAAGGATTCAGGGGCAATAGATGTCCTAATTGAACTTAACTTTTCCAATTCTTTTTGCCCCTCTGCCCTGATGCCCAATCAAAGGTAATTTTCTTGTTGTGCCCAATGTCTGGCACGGCATTATAAAATCCCAAACTGCTTTGGACTTTACTACCGAGGAGGTAGTGGCCTAAAGTGTTGAGTTTATGGCAGTCTTTAGTAGCCTACTCAGCCTTTTCAGTCTCTGCCTGAAAGACAATGCGTATTGCCCAAGTCTTAAATTAGATTAGATTAGAAAATGAATCGGCCTCTTTATGACCCGTGCATCACGACCAGTATCGATCTGTTATGCAACTCCATTGTTGTCTTGACAATTTTTGTTGTTTTTACAATTTTTTTACAAATTACTCAGAACAAAAAGCTTTATTTTTAGGCATCAGCATATTTTAAACGCTTATTGATACTCCAGGCTGTTAGTCGTTGCTCACAAACCAGTGAACCAGTGAAATGTGGAATTTCATACCAAATTCAAGATTTTTTGTACAAAAAAACTAACCAAAATAAAGTGTTGATATTAATAATTTGAAATAGAGTGGATTCTCTAATTGGGAGTCAATAGTTGAAACAATTGCCCTTGTGTGTGCTTGTTAAGCTTTATTTTTTCAGCATCTGCATACTTTCTAAAAACAATCTGTTGATACTCCAGGTTATTGTTAGCCATTACTCACTGAAACTAAGATTTTTTTGCATAGATTTTTCGCTTAAAAAGTAACTGACATAAAGTGTTAACATGACCAATAAGCTATAAAGCATTTGTTTTTCTACTTGTTGTAAGTTGATCAGAGTTAAGAGACATTTCCACTTATGTATGTTTGCTAGTTTCACAACTTTTGAGTCAATTTTTTGATAAATTACTTAGAACAAGCAATTAGCTTTATTTTTAAGCATCTTCTAATTTTTAAAGGCAATCTGTTCATACCCTGTTTGTTGTTAGCCATTTTATACTAAAACGAAGATTTTTTGGTTAGATTTTTTTTCCTAAAATTTAATTGAAATAAAGTTTTAATGTTAGCAGTAAGCAAGAGCAATTTGATTATGAAAAAGACATTTCTACTTGCTGGTTTCATATTTTTTGGGTCAAATTTTTGACAAATTACTTAGACTTTACAGATAGCTTTATTTTTCAAGAATCAGATAACTTAAAGGCCATCTATTGATACTGCAAGCTTTTTGCACAAATTCACTAATTTCGTGGTCCGCTTGACCAATTAATATATTACAATTAATTAAGGTTTTTCAGTTGAGATAAAAAAGTCAATGGCACGAATGGGATTCGAACCCACGATCTTCGGCTTGATACACCGCTGCTCTACCACTTGAGGTCACGATAGCTCAAGTGGTAGAGCAGCGGTGTATCAAGCCGAAGATCATGGGTCCGAATCCCACTCATGCCACTGACTTTTTTATCTCAACTAAAAAACCTTAATTTTTTGCATAAATTTCTGGCCCAGCTAGTAATCAAAATAATGTTTTGTCATGACCAAAGTTAGGGAACTTTTGTTTAAATTCAAGTTGATTGTGACCAAGATGACTGTTATTGTGGATGGATTTGAGGGTTTTGATAATTCTTAGGTCTATTTGTTTGCCTTTTGCCTAACATATCTCACTTCTACCTCAGGTAGTCAACAATAGAATATATACAACTCCATACATATATACAGACTGTTGTGCACATCCGAAAACCCACCGGAGCATAGATTACTAAAATAACTATACTTCTACTATAAACTAAAACTATAAAATATTTAGCATTAAATATACAACAATACACATAACTTTTCACGGTTAGAGTATCATGGGCATGATGAGAATTTGTCTTAAAGAATGGAATTACCTAGATAATCTGAAAGAATATTGAAATCCAGAGAAGGTATGACCAGTCAGTATATTGCAAATGAAAGACTACAGATATTAACCACTGTTTTTCAAAGCAAAGAATGACTCAATTAAAGACAGTCACCTAGCCAAGCTGCTATATGAAATAATTTAGCTCAAAGATCTGAAATGCCTATAAAAAAACTGCATTTCTCTTTCCATACAAGATTTTTATTGAAAGATATTCAGGGGGAAGGAATAAAGACAGAAATTTAACTCGTTTCTTGACAAGTCAAGACCTCAATGGACTTCATAGTGGCGAAAATGTGCACAATTCTGCAATGAATGAGAACAAGCCTTGCAGATTTATGATCAGAATTCAAGGCTTGATTCTGTAAATTATTTTTTGGACTAAGAATACAAGAAAAATTCATTGCCATCTACATAAACATGCTAAAACGGATCCGACATTCGATCACTTTTGCGACAGTCATAGCTTCCTTTCCTCTTCGCCCCAACTTCATTCTTAATTTTCTCACTGAAAATAAACACACAAAACAGAAAAGTAAACAAAGTGATCAAGTGTCGATTAATTTAACACGTGTCCTCTGGCTCAACAGAACAAATGTTTTATCAATTTACTTTAAGCACAACAGAAAAGTTTTTAATTATACAATTCTAATCGAGGAAAACACTTTAATAATTATTTTAAAACAAAATACTTTTTATAAACATTCAGATTGTAATATCACTGTCATTTATAACATGAAAATTCAAGGGATAAGCTGATGAACCGGAAGATACTCTTGAACAATCAACCCAATAAATAATGCAAACTATAAAAATTGCCAATAATTCATTTAATTAGAATAATAAGCGTAAAAAGTTGTACAAACCGGATATTTAACCAATGCAATAAAAATGTTAAAAATAAAGTCAAGAAAAAGTTGGATGTTGGTCTGCAAGTCGATGAATACATGCATGATCTTTGTGAAGTTCAAATGCGCTTTGGCTTCAACGAGGAACTTGGAACGGAATATAATGAGGAAAGCTCGTCGAGTATGGCATGAAAGCCGAAACGAGTTTGACCAAAATGTAGACCCGCGGGAGTAGACAGACCTAACGAAAGACAATTCAACGTGTAAAGAAAATCTTCATCAATCTGAAAAAATTAAAACAACAGATGATTGATTTTAATGGTTTTAGTTCAGAAATGAGAGGTTTGAGGGATTTTGTGCCAGACCGAACAGTCGAGGATGATCTAAAACGACACGCTTCATCAACCGCCCAAGAATAAATTTTACTTCGTATTAACAATTCTATGTTTCCTTTGACTTTCAAAATCATCAATTCATCTGTTATAAACTTAAATTGTATACGTAAATATTTATTGTTTTGAATTGAAATGGCCAATATTCGGGGAGGTTCTTGAGGTTACTTCACTCAAGGCATGAGATCTTTTTGACCTTTTATGACACAGGGTACATTCGAAGTGGTCTGAAGATAGATTATTCGTATTAATTTAAAAGATTCTCTTTAAAAAAATGCCTATTGCGCGTTTTTTTAGTAGGCGTTTTGGTTAATAAACTGTTAGGCGGTCATTCAGACTTAGGCAAAACATGTAGACAAACGGATTTTATGACAAAAAAATAAAATTGGCAGTGTTTTTCTATGCGGTTTGACTATATCTAGATCCTGATGATTCGTAAGTAGGATAAGGTGGTCGATTCATCAGCCAACATCGACTTTGAAAAAACGGCTTTTGTAGGATTAGGCCTAGTTTTTTGTTTTCTTCCTGTGCAGAAATTATAAGAATTTAGGTGTTTTGGGTTTGTTATTATTTTTTTCCAGTAGCGGACAACGTCGAAATGTTACTTCGATGTTCAAATCACCTGAGAGAAGGGTAAATGTGTAAAGTAAAAGGCTGACCTTTGGCCCCGCAGTCCGCACAGACGTCGTTCCCTGGCTTCTTCATCAGTTCCAGGACGCCCTTAGACCCGGAATCGAACATTTTCGCACCCTGGAAACTTGTTTAAATTCAATAATAGAGAGGTGTAGAAGTCACGAGGGCGCGTCGGACCCCGGTTTCCGACTCGGTTATCATCCGTGTTTATTATCTAAAGGTGATTTGGAAACTAGTTATCTATCGGGCTACGTTTTAGTTTACAAACTCGACCAGGGCTGCCAACTGACGTCTAGACGTCTAGACTTCGATTAATGTCCTTTGACCCAGATTTCCGCCCCCTCCCCGCGACACGCAGCCGATCCTGACCTTTCCCGTCAAAACATCTCCCCCACCAACACAAGGCAAATGGATATTTTTTTCCAAGCTTTCTTTCCGACTTATTTTAAAAACTGGTCAAAAAGCCCTTGAAAAATGTTTACGGCAAAAGGTAAATAAATAGACCTAAGAATTATCAAACAAAGCCCTCGAATAAACCCTTCCACGATAGCAATCATCTTCCTCGCATTAGCATGATTTATTTTGAAAAAAAAATTCCGTAACAAACTTTGGCTATGAAAAACATTATTTTGATTACTTGGTAGGACATAAATTTATTCAAAAAGCCTGCAGTATCAACAGATGGCCTTTAAGATATCTGATGCTTGAAAAATAAAGCCAACTGGATGTACCAAGTAATCTTAGATTTATTGGGAAATGGCTAACAACCTAGAGAATCAGCAGATGGCTTTTAGATATTATGCTGAACCTTAAAACATAATTCGAACTCAGTACCTTTACCTGGCAACACCCACTTTCCCCTTCACAGAATTTTTGTTTACAATTTCTGATTCAAGCATTAAAGCTCATTATCATAAGAAATGACTAACAAACCCGATGAAAAAGTTAGTGTCGCGAGAGCGATTCAAACCCACGACCTAAGCCGCTATTCTAACCACTTGAGCTATCGTGACTTCATCCCGGCATATTGAGCCAAAGGCCATGAGTTCGAATCCCACTCATGACACTAGCTTTGTCATCTCAACCTTGACCTTACATAAAAATAATAATTAAATAAGTAATTTGGTTAATTAGACCACTAAACATAATGGATTTGTAAGTATGTCGGGTTCGAATGTGGTGCCGCTGAATTGAACCCGGTACCTTTACGTTGCAATACCTGATGTCCCTTCTCAGTTTTTTGTATAAAATTATCTGGATTTCAAGATTAAAACTTATTATCATGAAAAATGACTAACAGACGAGTATTAATAGATAGTCTACAATATGCTGTTGCTAAAAAAAAATAATGCTAATTACTTGTTCTAAGTAATTTGTCAAAAGTTGACTCCAAAATTATGAAACTATCAAATACAAATGTCTATTTAATTAATAAAACGGGAAATGGTAGAATTTTACTTTTTAAAAACTCTCAGATTTAGTGGGAAATGCCTAACACAACCTGGAGAATCAGCAGATGGCTTTTAATTTTATGCTGAATCATAAAACTAAAGCTAATAGCAATGATGAAGTTTGGTTGATTATGTGGTTCTACTCAGAGATTTTTTAAAAGTTTAAACGGGGGTTTTTAACAGCAAACGTCATATCAACCCTCAGGGTGCCAGTGTTTTTTTGAAGAATAAAAAGCCCATTTGTGAGTTGTCAAGTTCTAATGCAGACCCACTGGATCCCAGTACCTTACCTTATGTCACCCGATGTCCTTTCACAGATTTTTTTATTGCAATTATCTGGATTTCAAGCATTAAAGTTCTTCATCATGAGAAATGTATCAGACTGGAGTATTAATAGGTAGTCTTTAAGATATGCTATCACTAAAAAAAATTAAAGTAACTGTTTGTTCTAAGTAATTTATCAAAAAATTGACTCAAAAGTTATGAATCTAGCAAACATGCATAAGTGGAAATGTCTCTTTCATTAGTTTAGTGTGAAATGGCTAACAGCAAACAGGGTAGAACAGATTGCCTTTAAAAAGATAGAAGATGCTTAAAAATAAAGCTATAAAAAAATAAAAGACACATTGAAACACAATCTATCAAAGGTTCTAAAAACAAGTCCTCAGGGCAATTGTCTCGTTAACTATTGACTTTTAATAACAAAAAACACTACTGCAAATTGGCAATTTTATTGTAGGTACATTTTAGGCCAGAAATTTGTGCAAAAAATCTAAAATTTTCCAAGAAACTCCATGAATAAAGACCCAATCATATAGCATTTTGTGAGAAATGTCTAACAACTGGAGTATTAATAGATAGTCTTTAAGATGTGATGTCACTAAAAAAATAAAGCTAATTGCTTGTTCTAAGTAATTTATCAAAAAATTGACTCAAAAGTTGTGAAACTAGCAAACATACATAAATGGAAATGTCTCTTTCAACTCTGATCAACTTACATCAAGTAGAAAAACGAATGCTGTATAGCTTATTGGTTAGATTAATTTTTCTCCATTACTTTCAGGCGAGAAATCAGTGCAAAAATTTTAGATTTTATAGGAAATGGCAGCTTACATAAATTATATATATATAGAGAGAGAGAGAGAGACAGAAGAGAGAGAGGGGGGAAGGGGAGAGAGGGAAAGAGAGGGAGGGAGGGGGAGAGAGAGAGAGAATTTAATTGAATATTGAATATTTTATTTATAAAAGCTGGCAAAATTAGGTATCATGAACCTTTCTTACACTTAACGAGCAAAAGTATACAAGAGAGAATGCTCTTTTGTTCTCTATAGGAAATGGCTAACAATAACATGGAGTATCAATAGATTTCCTTTAGATATGCGGTTGTTTAAAAAAATTAAGCTAATTATTCGTTTTAAAAAATTTCTAAAAACAACCCATCAAAAGTTTGGTTGGATCAAAAGATTGGAGAAGATAAGGCATCTCCTTGACCCATCTCTAATGACCCATCTAGCCTTCACAGTTTGGTATGGTATGGTATGGTAAAAAAGGATATTAGGAAGCGGGGTATGGCTCCCCAGGCACTGCAGCCTTTTGGTTTATTGTACCTTCCTAGTTTCTTAGTTCAGTGTAATAGACTCAATCCTTCTCCTTAGAAGTATCAGGTCATTGACTGTCGCTGCTGCAATTTGATTCCTTAAGTTTTTTCCGTTAGGTTAAATTTCTTAATTTCGTTAAATTTTTCCATTGAGCTATTGCTTTGTATTCGAAGATGATATGGGTGGCTGTTTCCTCCTCCTCGTTACATAATCTGCAAATGGGATAATCTTTGTATATACCCATGTTGTGTAGATGTTTTCTAAGATGCCAGTGACCGGTTAGTAGTGCTACCACTCCTCTGAGTTTGGCCCTCTCCAGTTGCAGCAATGATTTTGCCAGCCTTGGTGAGGGTATTTTCATCATAAGTTTACTATGTCTTGTGCCACTAGAGTTTATCCACTTCTCCTTTTGCTTTGTTTGGATCCATTCTGCGATGGAGGATTCTATTTTTGTTTTTGTTATCCCAAGTATAGGCCCGCGGCCTATGTATGGTCTTGCAGATCCTCCTCTGGCCAGACTGTCTGCTTTCTCATTATCCAAAATTCCCCTGTGCCCTGGCACTCAAGATATCACTAAGTTGTTGTGTTTCCCCAGGTTTTGGAGATTTTGGATGCATTCACTGACTAATTTTGATGTGATTCTTTTACATGCTAATGCTTTAATGGCTGCTTGGCTATCACATCTTATGAGGATGTTTTTGCCAGTGTAACCTGTTTTTAGATTTTCCAGTGCACAAGCATTACTGCCACGTATTTTTGCTTGAAAGACCGAAGTGTACTTCCCTAATGAGTTTGATTGCTCATGTTTTGGGCTTGTGCAGAAAACACCCGACCCGGTTCCTTTGTTTTGCCATCTGTATACCATATCATTGTATCTGATGCTCCTGTGTTCTTCCTCTCTTTATAGTCCGTTGAGACTTTGTAGGAAGTTGTAAAGAATGTTTTCGGGATCATATAGTCAGTCCCCATTTCTAATAATGGGTATCTGATTTTGTTGATTATGGTTGTACGCCCGAAGTGTTTAGTTCTATCCAATTTAATTATTTCTGAAGCCTAAGTGAGCTTTTCCTAGCCGCTCCTTGTATAAATATTTCCAGTGGAGGTATGTTTAGCAGAGTTTCTAATGCATTTGTAGGGGTTGTTCTCATTGCCCCTGTGATACATAGGTTTGTTAGTCTTTGTATATAGCCTAATGTTTGGGTAGCTACTTCCTTCATAGCTTAGTGACATATGTCATGTCTATCACTAGACGGCAGAGATATGGTATGAGAACCTAGGTACTTGTGTATAGTCACTATTTCTATTTCCTCTTTTGTTGATCTCTCACCAGGTATAATTTATTGTTATTTATCCTAGTAGTTTCTACTTTCTTCTTATCTGTGGCACCAGGTTTAGAACAGGGAAGTCGATTTGATTTGGTTGTCATCCATTATTAAAAAGTCTTAGAGCTTAGATAAGTACTTGACAAACATTTTGTAAAATATTTTAAGAATGAGCTACAGAGCCTCAGGTAACACATAATTGATAATTTGTAACCATTGATGAATGATGTAGGGTGTAACTTGATGACTTATCGATATATGCTAGGGCTTAACAAACATAAAAGAAAGACAATTGCTTGTGATAATGAGTTTCCAGAAATCATGGCGAAATGACCAATTCAACCTAAATTTTCTAGCATATATTCAAATATTCTTGATACTGTAACAGCAGTATTGTCATGGAAAAAGTCTTACAATTAGTCCTTAAAAAGTAAGTACTTGTCAAACATTTTGTAAAATTTTTATGAATGCACTACCGAGCCTGAAATAACACATAATTGATACTTTGATCAAAACCATAGATGAACAATGCAGGATGTTATGTTTAATAGTGCAGAATCGAGATATGCTGATGCTTAAAAAAAGTTGATTGCTTGTCCTAAAGTGTCATTCAAGTAACAAAACCTAAAAGTGCAAACCACTTTCCCAAAAATTGAATATCATTATTAACCAAAATACAAGATAAATTAATTAATAAATAATTTGTTTATAATGAAAGCTTTCGAGAAAAGTATTTTTCAACTAAATTCATAAAGATTCTCAGTATGCAAAGAACAAATATCTCATCGTAATTTTTACCCTTGTGGTTGTTAAGAACATTTTGTCAGAGTGTTGTATAATTATGTAAGAAATTGTATATTTTATGTATTTAAATTATACATTTGTAATGTAGGGAAAATAAATTGAATAATAAAGGGGAAAAAGGGATATTTGGACCTGGCTGGTCTGCCACCCATTTGATAACCACTCCTGACAACTCTTAACTTGACAACATTATCTTGTACAATTTTTAAGTAGACACGAAGTAAAATCTGCGATAAAGTGCCGTTTTTATTTATTTTTAAGTTTATTTTTGCATTAATGCTTGCAAATTGATTGACGAAAAGGGCTTAGTATGTTGGACATGGATGAGGACTACTTCCCAGAGGAGGACAAACTGTAAGGGCCCTTTTTATTTTATTTTTTCTTATTTTAAAAATTTTCGATTTTATTTTGTTTTCCTGGCCTTTTAATTTCGTATTTCTGTTTTTTCTTTCTTTTTTTTTTAGTTTTTTAATTTTTTTTTCGTTTGTTGTTTCCTCTCGTTAGTTTCTAACCGAAGAGATGGACAAAGGATTTATCAACAATTACACACCTTTGCCAGTTTTTGACCAACTATGTACAGGGATGTTCTTTCCTGAAGACACTTTGTATGTACTTTTTTTTTTATTACTAATCATAAAATCTAGCTGTATTGCTTACAAAAATAACCATTCAGATATAAGCTAAGAACCTCATCGTTGAAATTCTAACATTTGCTGTTAACTAAATAAATCGGAAATGCTTCCATATGGAAACGCTTTCTTACATGTTAATGACCCACAGTCCCATCGTTATTCCTAAATATACAAATTTTTCGCATTTTATTTTAATAAATGTAATCAATCAGAACAGCAATTTGAGAAGCTTTTCAAACCAGCTCAAGTCAAAGGTCATGAGAGATTGGCCTTACAATGAATAAAAGAAAGCGATTCAATTGATGATCTTTTTAATGTATATTTTGTTAGTCAGGACCGAAACGGGGACATTTTAGAGATTCCAGCATCGTAAAATGAAAAGGGTTGTGGCAGGAGCCAATTGCCTATAAAAGCTCCTCCACATTGTCTCAGATTCGCTGGTCCTCCTAGTGCTTTTTTAAGCGTCCAATGCTTTGAAAATCACAGGACCAAAGGGAATGGTTAAGGCATGTAGAAAGCTCCTGATTGGCAAACATCTTGACTTCTGTTCTGTTGTCAAGAGTCAGGGGAATCTAGCACACTTTACCTAAGCCCTTGTAGCTTATTCAGTCTCGTTCTGCAATTAGAGTAAGATGTCAATTTCCTTTAAGAAATGTGGTTGCCAGACATGGTAGGCCAAAATGATTGATAATGGCTAAATTTTAAGGTTCATCACCCTGTAAACATGGAGAAATGTCACAATAACGAGATTTTTATTTTATTTAATTTTTTTGTTTTTGTTTTGTGTTATAAAATAACCAACCATAATTTTTTAAGATATTCTCCGTCTGGAAATACATTATTTCCAGTGGATTGGGAGGTTTTAGAAGTTCCATCATTATAAAATGAACGGGATCATGCTAGGAGCCAATTGCTCACAAAGGCCCTGCATTGTCTCAGAATTCTGTCATCCTAGTGGTTTTTCAGTTCTCAAATTAGTTAAAATGGCAGGTCTGTAGGGAAGATGGTCTAAGCAAACATCTTGACTTTCATTCTTCTGCCAAAAAGTGTGGGAATGTGGCAAAGACTACAAAATCCTAGGTCCTTTGCCTTGTTCTTTGAGAGCCCTGTATCTTATTCAGACTTGTTCTGACATTTTGGTTTTATTAAAATGTCGTTTACCTTCAATAACTGTGGTCATCGGACATGCCAGGCCAAAATAATCAGAAATGGTCAAATTTCAGTGATTCATCACCCTGCAGACATGGAGAAAAATTACAACAAATGATTTTTTTCTGGTATTATAAAATAACCATGGATAAATTATTTTTCAAGATAATTTCCCTCATTGGAAATAGATTTTTTCAGTGGATTGGGAGAATTTAAATTCAGGCCTAATAAAAGAGGGTGTTCCAAGAGCCAATTGCTCAAAGCTCACTGTCGTACTAGTGTTTTTTATTAAGGCCCAAAGAGGTGAAAATCACAGGACCAAAAGAAGAATGGTCGACGCATGCTGAAAGCTCTTGGCAAACCAGCAAACATCTCGACTTCTGTTCTGCTGTCAAAAGGTGAAGGCATGTGGCACAGACTTTACCCCAGGTCCTTTGTCATGGTGTTTTAACTGCCCCTATAGGTTATTCCAATTCATTCTGCCATTTTGGTTGCAGTAAGTTGTTGATCGCCTTCAAGAAGGTGATGAATTGTGCTAGTATTCTTTTCTGTAATTTTGGTCCGAGGATGAGGATTATATTCCTCATTTTCCACCTGACCATGTCCTTCCTTGAACTTTTTCATGCCAGTACACACAGTCGAGACTTAAACAGTGTTTCTTCACCAAACTGAAAAGTCGATCTTTGAAGAATTTCCGCTAATTTTATTTGAAATATAAAAGCAAATTGTAAATGATTTATTTTAAATAATTAAGGAACTTAGGTGTATGTACCATACTTGAATACATATTTGCAGTATATGCATATTATATATTAGATACACTTTATTTCTTTCAATTACATTATAAGTACGCGTCAGTGCTAAACAATGAGAACCACTTAACCACTTTTTGTGCAAAGGGAAGATAGGGTTCAAAGATACAACAAACTGGAGAACTAGGGTTCAGAAACAATTATTTATACACCGGACCGTCTTAATATAGTAACAACAAAAAAAGTCAAACAAACAAGGCAAATCAACCACAACTCTAGCTCTGGGGCTGAGCTTATTACCCCAAACGATGCTCGCCAATACCAGCTTCCACAGCTTGTAGCGTTTCCAGGATATTTTTCATACAGTTTCCTGGATTGTCAACAGTCGATTCTATTCAACTTGTCGCAATGGCTAGGTCCTTGCAGACTCATGCTGTCTGAGTCCTCCCACTGAGTCCCGTCGAGTATGGCTGCTTGACTGAGTTCTCAGGTTGGCTGACTTTGCTTTTCAAATCATCATATATGGGTTCTCCAGCCAGGGTAAAGGAGGAAAGGAAAAGTAAAAAATATTGTGCCAGGTGGCCAACTTCTTTCTTGTAAGAGTTGGCCACACGATAATCGTAATTATCAGGAGTTTCTATTATGCAGCCTTCTCCCATGTTGATGGACATACGGCAAGTGTACAATGCCTATCGGCTGATATGACCCAAAATTTATGGCGTTCCTCTGCTGTTTAACTGTGGCTGTGGCAACCTTCTCAAATTACTCCTTGGCTTTCATGTTTGTGGGAAACGTTTCTTTTCTCCCAACCAAATGGGCAACACATCAGATTTCCTTACATTATACCTCTGTCAGACGTTTACTTGAGTCCGGATACTCTATTTTCTATATGGGGTTTGATTTGATTCTCTGTGTACTGTGATTTTATAAATAGATCCCTAAAAATAATTTATCTGGACCTATATAATATAAAAAAACCAAATAAATTTATGTGAAATGTCAGCTTAAGCAGAATTCGAAATGCGCTTAGGGGTTGACCAAGAATATTTTTAGATGAAGGGTTGATTTCTTCAGTTGATCATTGTGCCAACATTGCAAATAATTTCCAATATATTTTGATGTTCTACCAATGCGAATAACACAAAAAAATATACAGATGAGAAACAAGTTCTAGATGTGATAGGGTTTTTGTTTTTTGAAGAGCTCAACACAAGCCTTTGCCTCTCGTTCCGCTGGAAAAATCCCTCGAAGAAGACCGCGTTCTCACCGAGGGTACATCAACAGGCAAGTAAGTTTCTTTCTTCACTGTATTGTTTTTTTCTTTTCTTTATTTTTGATTATAAATTTAATGAGTTATTAATCAGGGAGCCTCCTTCTGAGAATGCCTTCTTGCTAGGCCAGCAGAGCCTTTACATGTTTCAAGACAGCCTGTAAGTACGGTCGATGGCTCACAACCACCTGCTTTTTTTCCATTTGTGTCCTTGGATTTTTAATTTCTTTACCTTTTGTTGCAGGAAAAACACCACAAATAGTTGCACCAAAATAGCAAATGTAGACACATTAGTTTGATGATCACCTCCACCTTGAATAATAAAACTAATTAAAATAGTTTTTAGTTGTTTTTTGTTATTGTTGTACTAGCTTGTGCTTTTTATTTCTTTTTTTGATAAACATCAGCATGATATTGTTATTACACCCTGTATTGTTATACCAGAAAGATAAAAATAAAGCTTCTTTTATTTTATTTTTCAATCATTGTAGCCCTTTCCTTTACATAGACAAATATATATATTTTTTAATATGATAAATTATTTTAACATTGCATGCCAATAAAAAACTGAACTGTTGTAGGGGAATGACAGTAACATCCGGGGTTACGACGATTAAAAAAGATACTTCCAACTTAATTGGGATAAGCATAGGCGGTGGTGCACCAGTTTGCCCTTGCCTTTACATCGTCCAGGTTACTAACATCACTAACAATTGGCCTTGAATTATTTTTGTTTATTTATGTTTTAAATAATATTATGTTTAGGTTTTCGATAACACGCCAGCAGCAAAAGAAGGCACGTTGCAGAGCGGAGATGAGCTTGTCGGTGTCAACGGTCAATCGGTTAAGGGTAAAACGAAAGTCGAAGTCGCTAAAATGATACAATCCTCTAAGGCAAGTATTAAATTTTATTTAAACTATTTAACACCCCAACAAATCAAAACATTAGACAGCAATTGTAATTTCAGGATGAAGTCAGTATAAAATACAACAAGCTTCATGCCGATCCCACTCAAGGCAAATCACTCGACATCGTCCTGAAAAAGGTGAAACACAGGTTGGTTGAAAACATGAGCACGTCAACAGCAGACGCACTCGGCCTTTCTAGGGCCATACTCTGCAACGACACACTCGTCAAAAAGCTGCAGGAGTTGGATGGGACCGAGGCGATGTATAGGGGCCTGGTTGATCACACGAAGCGCGTGTTAAAAGCATTTTATGGCCTTTTACAAGTATATAAAGGTATCTTTGTGAAAATTCATTGTAAATTTGATGGGAGCCTCTCTCCACATTCAGTTCCTCTACTTTTCCCCTAACACACTTAGATACCTGCCATATATACCACCAATATAGACATCCCCAATATAGATTCTTCTTCTTAAAAAACATCACTCCATGTCACAGTTCAGTCCACCCTCCATGATCTTTCTCCAGGCCACAGTCCTATTCTCCTAACTTTATCCAATCCGATTCTGAAATATAGCCTAGAAAACCTAATTAACTAAGGACTTATTGGGACACGTGCACCCAACTTGAAAATTCCATTAACCTCCGTATCTTTTTAAAAACCACAGAACTCAACAAGGCCGCGAACTTCTTTACCACTGCCATACATCAAGCTGTCTAGACAGCACACAAGACCCCTATAAAATCCAAACCTCTCCCCATATTTTAAACCTACAGCCCCTAAAACACCAAACCAGAGCCTATTGGCAAAGGCCTCGGCAACCCTCCGCCAAGCCCTCAATTGATTATCCCATACCTCAAAAATACACAAATCTTCAACTCCTACCTGTGAAACCTAACATCAGATAGGTTCTTGTGGTTAGCAAGAAAAATCCTGAAGCATCACATTTCCGACTAATGTCCACTCTTGACAAAACCGATGTTTTTGTCACAATACACAAAACTACCCAAAGCGGTTACTCCTTCAGAGGTAAAATTTATCGTGAATGGGATGCCAAATCAAGTCCTGGATTGGACCTCATCATCCTATATGAATTCCCAAAAAAAACCCATCATCCTACTGACATATATCTACAATAGTTTCTACACCATTAACTTCCCTTTCCTTTGGCAATACTTCAATAGCATCTTTTTTCCAAAAGCCGTCCAATCAGCCTATTTCCCTTCTTCTCAATCAATTGATACTTAGACTAAACTCCCTCAACCTTCTTCTAGATCACTAGATCAGATTTTCTTTCTGAACATTCCACATTTCCTTCTTTGTGTTATGGATCATATGTCCTCATCCCTTGAGTGTAAACAGTACTGTATCGGGGCTTTACGTGGCATGTCACAAACGTTTGATTGCATGTCACACAAAGGTCTTCTTCCACATGTCCTTCCAGATATCTTATACCCAATCCTTCACTCCTACATAGCAGAACTATTCTAACGAGTTTGTCAAGGATCAGATTTCCTTCTGGAAGTGGGAGGGTCCTCGCATCAATCTTGTATCTCATCTGTACCTCAGATATCCCCCATACTTCAGAGTTGCTCCAGGCACACAAATTGCGAATAGCTAAATGGAGCAAATTCTTACACATTAAAATAAGCAAAAGTAATTGTACCCATATTGCTTTTACCTTCTGAAACATAACCCATCATACAATATTCCTCAGTAATACTCCTATTTCTAAAAGTGAATGTGTTACCTTGGATTCTATTGAGACTCTCGTCCAACCTAGAACCAATATACCCACACTAAAAGAAAAGAATTAAACAGAGTACTTTATTATCAAGAAGAATACGTATCAATGAAAAACAAACTAACAATTTATAAGACATCGCTGAAGCCCGGGGCACCACTAAGTGTTCCTACATCCAAAAAATACAATCCTTCCAATCCAAAGAACCATTGCCAATGTTCCTACTATTTTTACAACACTGCCCTTCACAATAACTTCCAAATATCCTTCGTTAAAAATCTAATCCTCAACTAATTTTTTACATAATATGAAAAACTATCCTCACATCCTTACGAAAAACGATCCAACATTATCTATCCCTTACAATCCAGTAAGGTGACGAAGCGGAGATGGCCCTGGGACCTCCTTATGAATAGTATGTAGTAACTGAGAGTTAACAATGGTTGCTGGCTCCCCTCAGGATGTTTTTAAACGATAAAATCATATTGTATCTCATTATGTATTGTATACATTTGTATAGATGGTAATTAAATCAATTTTTTCCTTAAATGTAAATTTGATTGTCAACTAACAATATTCTGTTCAGCGTTTGGAGATGCGTTTGCCGGAATCGGTGTGCGTGAGCCGCAGCCGAGGGCCAGTGAAGCATTCAGGGCTTTTGGGGACTATCACAGATTAATGGAGAAGAACGGCGTTCAAACTCTTAAAACAATAAAACCAGTAATTATACTATACAAAAATTTACATAAATAAAGTTGGTGACATGACTTATATATGGAATGATATGACAATTGAAATGCTTTCATTAAAAAAGTCTCTAATTTTGAAGAAATTATTTTTCTACATTTACTGTAACACTTTTTTTTTTTTTAAAGTTACTAGTTGCTGAAGTATTAACAAATATAAAGGAAAAAAACATGTTTTTGATATATAATAATTAAAATGAAGCGTTTTGACTCTATATTTGTCACTAAGTCACGATAGTAAGTAAAAATTGTACATTACAGATTTTATCCGACCTTGGCACTTATTTGAACAAAGCAATTCCTGATACAAAACTGACAATACGTAAATATGCAGATGCCAAATTTGAATATCTCTCATACTGCTTGAAAGTAAAGGAAATGGACGATGAGGAGTACTCATATGCGCAGCTACAGGAACCTTTGTACAGAGTTGAGACTGGCAACTATGAATACAGGTTGACTTTTTAAAACTTTTTTTTCTTTTTTTTTTATTGTCTTATTTTTTCTTTTTATTTATTTATGTTTTTTTTTAAGATTGATACTGAGATGCAGGCAAGATGCGAGAGCTAGGTTTGCCCGTTTAAGATCAGATGTGTTAGTCAAACTTGAACTGCTCGATTCCAAACATGTCGAAGATGTCGTAAGGCAGCTGCATCGTTTTGCATCTTCTTTTGCCAAGTTTTATGAAGAAGTCAAAGAAACCCTTGCACAGAACAGCTTATTCCCAATAGAAATGGACCTGGCTAGATCTGCTTTTCAATACAGCAGCACAAACCAGCAGATCCAAGTGCTTATTTTAAATTTATTAATTTTGAAACAAGATTATTTTTATATTTTTTTAAATTGTAGTATGAAGATGATGATGATGAGTTGATTCAGGACGGTGTCGAGGTGAAAGAAGAGCCTGCAATAGGCCAATTGATCGACGGCCAGTTTCAGACGAAAGAAGACAAAGATGAACAGAAAGAATCATATCTTGAGGAGCTCATCACAGATATGAAGCCGATTCAGGTTTCAGAACCTAAGGTCGCCACACTCATCGGCCTCGATTGATTCCGTCCCTATAATTATAGTTACCGCTTTTTATTTTTACCTTTGAAACCATTTTACCCACTTACACGCTTATTATCTCATGTCAAATTTGATTTTATTTAAACACAATTATAAATAAATATATATTACTTAAAACTTGAACTTTGTTTGTAGGTTCTCTTTTTTTTTTAAGTTATAATTTGGCTTTTGTTTTCAAAATTGTTAATCACATTGACATTCGATATCTTGCACTTCAATTATGCGCGATACTGCATCATCCTGTACAGAAAGTGAAATTAAAATTTCACCAAATGCTGTACACATCCTTGGTCTTGGGTGAAATGATCTGTTCGAAGGCCACTTACCAACCGCCCTTGTTACATACAAGCTTCTTTTTCAGCCAATTATTTATTTATTTTTTAGCATCATGGTTTGAAACCAAGTGGTTTCAACCTGCACTGGGACCTAATATATAAGTTTATTCGTCAAGGCTTGTATGGCCTATTCTTAGTCAGGTGAAAGTGATCCCCCCCAAATGCCACTTACCAACCACTCTTGATACATACAAGCTTCTTTTTCAGCCAAATTTTCAGCCTACTTGAGCCTAATCTATAAGTTTATTTGTCAAGACTTGTATGGCCTATTCTTAGTCAGGTGAAAGTGATCCCTCTGAATGCCATTTACCAACCACTATACAAGCTTCTTTTTCAGCCAAATTTTCAGCCTACTTGAGCCTAATCTATAAGTTTATTTGTCAAGACTTGTATGGCCTATTCTTAGTCAGGTGAAAGTGATCCCTCTGAATGCCATTTACCAACCACTATACATACAAGCATCTTTTTCAGCCTAATTTTTACCCTAGTGGTTTCAGCCATCACTTGAATCTAGTTTTAATAATGACCTAATGATCTTTATTTATTTATTTTTTAAATCGTGTTTTTCATTGCATTTTTTAAGATCAGTAGTGTGGTATGGATTCAGAAAGTTAAGATGGATTCGGACTAGTATATGTATAAAATTATTGATGATCAATACTAGCATTACACTTTTAAAGTTTTGAAACAGGCCAACCATCTTCTGTATAAATTATGAATTTCCATGTCTTAAAATAAGTTTGGTATATGGTTTATTGTTATTGGTCAAGCAGACACGAAAAATAGTGAATTACATTTTTATGTGTTAAAGGTGGGTTTTGAGAGAGCGAAAAGACTCCTGAGATAAAAGGAAATAAAGCCAGATCTAAGGAGGAGCCACCACAAAATAAGATCATATCAGTACCTGACATGATAAAAACACTCATTTGACAGCCCTTCCAAGTGGTCACAGATAGAAGAGACCTTGGTAGAAAGGTAGCCTCAAATTTCAAGAAGGGTACACAGATGGATCAAAGATGGAAAAGGGGTTGGGGGTAAAAGGGTTAACTATACCTTGTCAAAGCCCCTTGGACTAATCTCAATAACATTCCGAGCTGAGGTCCATGCAGTACAACTCTGTGCACAGGAGATAATAATAAAAAAATTTGAAAGGTGCACAGATTTACATACTCTCAGACAAAAAGACAGCTATAAAGGCTCTAAATGCGTACACTTTCAACATCAAACTTGTCTGGGAGAGCCTAAATTACCTAATGGCTCTAGAGAACAACAATAACGTGGGTTCCGGGACATGAAGGTATAGAAGGAAATGGACTGGCTGACCAACTAGCCAAAAAAGGGGCAACCCTCTCACCCATGGTACCAGAACCACAACTAGGTGAAGTATGAAGGGGTCCATACACGCTCAATATTATTGCACAATGTAGTTGCACAATATTTTGACGGAGGCCCTACACTGCTCAATATTATTGCACAATATTTTGATTTGTGCAATAAATTGTATCGTATGCAGGCAATATTGATGGTTGTGCAATATATTGCACAATCGCGAGCACAGACGTACAACCTTCAAGGCAACATATTGTGCAATTAGTTCCAACAAGAATTTCATGTAGTGAAGCCATGTTGAGTGATAGTGATGTGTGTTGTGTGATTATCGCTGTGGGTGCCAGTGCGAAAAAGAAGAAGAGCTCGCAAAAAGGCAGAAAATGGACCAAACAGTGGCTAATTGATAGGGAAAAGTTACGATTAGTATAATCTTAGTATAATCTAACACTTCACATCCCACAGAGCTGGAAGGCCACGATAAACGTCAATCAATTCGAAAATGAATTGCCTATCAGCTTCCTTGGCAGCCATGACGACGCGTACTCTACCACTGACTGATGGGATATTGCGCAATATTGCCTACAGACGGCACAACCTTTTCCCGTTTGCACAATATATTTTCAAGGATTTGAATTTAGCACAATATATTGCACAACCTTTCAATTTCGACTACACACGATCAACTATATTGCACAAACCTAAATATTGCGCAATAATATTGAGCGTGTATGGGCCGCTTGAGGCTAGCTAAGAGATTTATAAATCTCTCAAAATGGAAGGGGCAGGATAGCACAACTATTCAAAATTATGACAAACCTTCATTAACTTTCATGAATAGCTTTAACAGTTACTATCCATTATTAAACATCCTAACCATTATTGATCATCACTATCTCCCACAATAGTAAACCATGCCTAACCATCTCTAACATTCCAAACCATCTCCAATCTTTCATAACAATAAAAAAAATCATTCCTGACCACCTCCAACCATTCCTAACTATCACAAACCATTCCTTACTAGCTCTAACAGTACCTAACCATCTCTGGCATTTTCTAACTACAGCAAACTATCTCAACTATCTCAAAGCATACCAAACCATCCTTAAACATGACTAACTATTCAAAACTATGTCAAACCATCATTAACTTTCATGAATAGTTTTAACAGTTCCTATCCGTCAGTAACCATCCTTACCATTCTTGACCATCATTATCTCCCACATTAGCAAACCATGCCTAACCATCTTTAACCAAATTTCAGATTTATCACCCCGTAGATCGTTTTGTGAAATAGCACAATCATTTATAATTCTGCTACCGTATTGGTTGTTACTAATTATAGGTTTTATTGCTATCATCGTGTGACTGATTTATATAAAATTTGCGCACGCGTGTACATATAGAGTATAGAATATATATAGAGTATAGAAAAATGGCAAAAAGGAGGGGAAATTCAAAAGGTGGGGTTGAGATGGGAAGTTAGTGTCCGAGTGGATCGAGGTCACGATAGCTCAAGAGGTAGAGCAGCGGCGTATCTAGCCGAAGATCGTGGGTTCGAATCCCGCTCGTGCCATTGACTTTTTTATCTCAACTAAAAATCTTAATTAATTGTAATAGAGTATAGAGTTGTTCCTATCACTTATCGAAGTCCACATGCAATTCTAGCTTTTGTTATTTACAATGAATAGAAGGCGAATAAAGGCAGGCCTCGAGATTTACCCACCAATAGTCTCATCTTCTCAGCCTCTGGGGCTCCTTATGAGTCACGCACCCACGTTAGTTTGCAGAATTGGTTTCCTTTGTAAAGGCTACAATGGGCTACATCTAATGGTTTTGGGCATGGATCACTCCAGAGAAAACCCAAGTAACTTACACATCTTGGTGCAGGGTGTGACCGTACTCCAGCCAACGTTTGCACTGTGCCAACTTTAGGATTTTGTACTGCCCCTCCACTCTAATGTGACAACTGTATAAATTAGTAATCATAAAATGTCTTTGCTGTTAGGAGCTGGCATCTAAACAAAATAACAACAGTTTTTCTCTAGTAACAGATTGGATGTCAGACTCATTTCGCATTTTAAATCCAAGATCCTCCAGTTCTTCTTTGATTTCTTCAGGTGGAATCAAAGCATGGAGATTTGTGATGTACGCACGCTCCTCTTTTAATTGGTACGTGTGGTAATCTGGTTGTTCAGGAGATAATAAAAAAATATGAAAGGTGCACGGATTTACATACTCTCAGACAAAAAGACAGCTATAAAGGCTCTAAATGCGTACGCTTTCAACATCAAACTTGTCTGGGAGAGCCAAAATTACGTAATGGCTCCAGGAAACGACAATAACGTGGGTTCCGGGACATGAAGGTATAGAAGGAAATGGACAGGCTGATCAAATAGCCAAAAAAGGGGCAACCTCTCACCCATGGTACCAGAACCATAACTAGGTGCACCTGAGTGTGTGCTTAAGTTAGAAATGGAAAAATGGCTTAAGAAATAAAAACTTAAGCAATGGGCAAAAACACCAAGTATGAGGCAAGCTAAGAGATTTATAAATCTCTCAAAATGGAAGGGGCAGGAACTCCCCTCTCTCAGCAGGCAGATTTGAGAAAAATTATAGGCCTCTATATTGCTACTGCCCTTTTAACTATGACCTAAAGAAGATGGACAAGCAGAGATAGAAACAAGCCGATGTTGTCAGAGGAGAGAAATCAGCACATATCCTTTGTGAATGTGAAGCATTAGCACAAAGAAGCACCAAGGAAAATCTTAGTCTTATAAGAAATAGCGCAGGTTCTAAGATGTATATAAAGGTTCAATCAATATAGACCAAGGTTCCGTAGATCTATAAAGATAGTAATAAGCGCTGTGACAATGCCTAGAGTTGCAGCCTCCTACACTTCTTAATAAATTAGTCGACAATATACGAACCATTTTTTTCCTCTGCCTGTCTCCCATGTAATTTTGTAATTCAGTCCTCCCAAAACTGGCTGCCTGACGCACAAGTCTCTTTGCTTGCAACAGACTCCCACTACAGTGGTGGATACCCACACCCATTGGATCTTGGAAAGGAAATGTTAGAGCTATGCGTGAATTGTTTGTTATAATTGGGCAGAGTTGAGAATAGAATGGTTTGCTGTTGTTAGAGATGGTTATTGGTGGTTAGGTACTATCAGAGCTTGTCAGGAATGGCTTGTGATAGGAATGGTTCGAGGTGGTTAAGAATGATTTTTCATGGTTATGAAAGATTGGAGATGGTTTAATACGTTAGAGATTGTTTGTGATAGGAATGATTGGAGATGGTAGGATTAGGGGATATAGATTGGATGTCAAACTCATTTCGCATTTTAAATCCAAGATCCTCCAGTTCTTCTTTGATTTCTTCAGGTGGAATCAAAGCATGGAGATTTGTGATGTACGCACGCTCCTCTTTTAATTGGTACGTGTGGTAATCTGGTTGTTCAGTAAACTCACGTATGAGTTTTCTGTAATTTTCAATTTTACTTTCAGGACTGTTATGTTAGTGCTTGTTTGACAGTCAAATTCATTTTTCCCCAGTAGTTGAATGAGGCATTTGTAGAATGTGCATAGTCAAAAATATTCTCAATGGATACATGAGGTCTTGTGTTGGAGGTCTGTCTTGAATTTTGGGATGGCTCTTCGTCATCGATTGCAATTTGTTTGGCGATTTGATATTTGGGGTAAAATGGGAGGTTGACGGACGGGTTGTGTCATTATCACCAGCAACCTTGGGTATACGGATGGTTGAGCCATGGGAATTTTCGATGCCGATAGAGTTTTCGATTTTATGAATACTGACAAATTTAGTTGATAGGAAGTCGGCTATCTCCAGGTCCGCCCTGCCCCGCTGGTTTGTCTGTCAGAAGCGTTTCTGAATATTCGATTCGATTGTAAATATAACACAAAATTATTGAAACAACTAATGACAATATATTTATTTTACATAATATTTTGATTTATAACTTAATAGTAAACTCAGCAGTGACAGGCCTGTGGTCGCTGTACTTGTGTTCCAAACGTTGGTATTTTTTGGATGTAATGGTTTGCTGGGTTTCCGATTTATACAAGACCCTGTCGGTCCAGGACGGCCTTCTTTTGTCGCTGTATGTATCAGACTCTTTTTCGTATTTAAAAGTCGGTTTGAAGGTGATTTCCGCTTCGTTCCAGTCTTTGAACGCCGTGCCGTTTTTCTGACATTCCTTGAGTTGGTCGTGGACTAAAAGTTCAGACGTTTTGTTTTCATTGATTTTCTTCACGATGTCCTCTCGTTCTTTGTCCACCCTGAAGTTCAGGTCGCCTAACCAAAACATGAAATCATTCGTCAGACCTTTGGTCGCGTTCAGGATCCGTTTGTAAACGGAGATCCTCTTTTCGTTCTGCTCGTAATGAGCGGGAAAGTGAGCTGAGATGGTTGTGAACCCCTTTCCGAACAATTTGAAAGAAGTAACGATACCTCCTTTATTTCCGACTTTGCCGAGAAGACCTGTCTTCACCTCTTCCACCTTGACGCTGGATTTGTCCAGTGAGTCTTGGTGCGTGTTCAGGAGGTATACATAAGAGCCTATACCGAACATAGTGCGTGCCTCTACCTGAAAAAAGAATAAGTCATGTAAAGGATGTTTCAAGCAAACGCAGAACCAACATACCTTAATATAATTTTTGTTTTTGAACTTATTTTCCAGATCGCCGGTCCACTTTTCTCCTTGAATGGCTTTTTTAAAAGCTCCAGTGAGGGAAAGGCTTACCATCTCCTGGAATCCTAGTAGGATCAGATCGTTCGGTTGACTAGAAGGTTTCTACAAGTAGGACGGTTGTTACATTTTATTTATTATTATTAGAATCGACTTACGAGGCCGATCAACTCATCTACGTTATCCCTAGGTCCCTTGGCGTCCACATTCCAAGTGCCAACATGGACTCTAAAGAAATGATATTTCCATGATTTCTCTTTTACTCTGTCTTATTGTATTTTAAGCAATTCACACCGAACAAAACACAGAAAATATTTAATTAAGAGATGCTTTCTTGAGCAAGTAATCGACTTACTTTATCTCCTTGCCTGTGACGGCAGCCGATAACACACCGATTATCAACTCGCTGGCAACAAAAATCGCTACGATATGCATTGTAAAATGACTGTATTTCTATGTTTCCCGTCAAAGCTTATGAGTGTACTCGACACCTGGGTTCACAGGAAGACAAACGCACTGGCTACAACTGTGTACACAAATTGCGAAATAGCGGAGAGAGACAGAAAAAAAGGCGTGCAAAATCTGGAAAATTTACACTGCACAATAAGCTTTTGAATTATACTGTTTGAATTTTATCGTACAAAAACAAATACTGGGCGGGGTTCATGATGACCTACGTCAGACAATGTGTTTTGACATAGTTGCGCACACAAATACAGAAATTTTACGTTTTAAAATATTGAACAGTCACGTTTTAGGTATCCTAGGCTGGAAGGGCATTCGTTCCATAGCCCTTTCAAAACGGCAAGACTTGATTTTTCGGTGGATAGCCGTTCAACGTCTTCCCGAAATAAAAGACAACGGACAAAGAACACTTGTGAGATTCCTTCCTGAGGTTTACAGTCTTTCATGATAGTAAACGACCCAGCTATCAACTTTTTTGGTCGTCCAGATGAAAAAGCCTTCGTTCCTTAGCTCTTTCCAAATGGTGAGACTATTTTAACGGATGGTCGAAACGGTCTAACCTCTAATGAAGTTAGTGATGATTAGTAATGATTGGAGAAGGTCGGACATAGTTCGATACTGACAGAGATGTAGATGTAGATATAGTTTCGGGGTTTAGTATACTGCGCTCTTTAAGAGCTATTGTATCCCCCGTGCTCTGCCTAAAGCACATCGGTGAGTCCTATTTCATCAAGAAACTTGATTAATAGGCCCGGTTTCAGTGGTTGTAGTTCTTCTATGGTCACATTGTACATCCCAAAACACTTCCTCCTGCGGGCTAATGTAGCTCCGCAGTTTGTTAGTAAGTGTGTTGGTGTTTCTTCTGCCTCTTTGCAGAATCTGCATGTGCCATCTTGGATTATTCCAATTTTCTTTAAGTGTCCATTTAACTTGCAGTGTTCTGTTAGGAATCCTATTAGGATTCGCAGTTTGTTCCTGCTTCCCTTGATACATTCTGTAATTTCTTTCCTTCCAAAATTGGTTAGAAGATTCTTGGATTGTCTGTGTCCAATGAGTGAATTCCAAAGTTACCTCATTTTCTTTTTGTCGTTCTGTCTGAGATACTCGTTAATAGAGTGGGTTCCTATGCCACAGAAGGGTTCAGGTCCTATCAGCGGTGTAGTAGCCCCTTTTCTTGCAAGGGTGTTCGCTTTCTCGTTGCCTTCTACTCCCATGTGTCCTGGGACCCAGCAGAGGCTGACTTTATTCTGCGTACCTAGTATGTTTAGTTTGGTTTTGCAGTTCAGCACCATCCTTGAACTAATGATATTTGAGCTTAGTGCTTTGATGGCTGCTTGGTTATCTGACATGATAGCTATATTCTTGTTTTTGTACCCTTTACTTAGGTTGAGTTGGGTACATCTTTCGATTGCAGGAATCTCAGCTTGGAAGATACTGGTGTAATTTCCCATGGGTTCTGAATATTTGGTTCCAGGTCCAAATACTCCTGCACTGCCAGAGATAGTCAGGAATTGTTAAAGGTGGTAGAGTAGGTAATTGGTCAAGAATGGTTATGTATCAATTATTAGGTTATGTAAGCACTGAAGAATTCGGAAATCCGCATCGCGTCCGAACAAACGGTCGCGGGATACTTCGTATGGTGAGTTTACTTCCGAGCTCTGCTGGATCATCTCCCGGAACATTGGTGTCCTCGTGGAGAAAACTATCCAGCCGGTCTTTGAGGCCCAACCGTGAACACGAATTCTGCATTTCCAAAGCTGGGGTGAGTCTGGTTTTGACTGCCTGGGGTGAGTCTCTGGTTTTAACTGACTGAGGTGAGTCTGGTTTTGACTGACTGGGGTGAGGTATTGGGGCACTTTCTTGTTGGTGTTCTTGGATTAGTTTGTTTGTTTGCCAATCTTATTAAATTAATTTTTTAACTCATAATTTCGACTTCTTCCAGACTAACATTCGTAGTGGAAGTTCTAATACCATTTTTCTCAAACCCTGGAAGACCGATTTACATGGATGAGAATTCGTTTTAAAGAAATTGTCAAGTGCATTGTTTAACTGCATCAACCATTAAAGTCCGACGGAATTATTTCCATTTGAAAAACGAGGTTAATTTCTGACACAAATATTTTCTTACAAAAATATTTTATATATTTTTATAGTACATACGTCGTTAATAAGCTCTTCTTTCAAACGGTATATTTGCCGTTAAAATTTTTTTGCAGTTTCATTAAGATTTTCCGATAGCGACTTCTCAAAAGTGAAACATTTTAGGAGTTAAAAAAATCGATAAATTTAAATTAAAACAAAAATTTATATTCAGGGATCTCTAGAGTTTCATTGGTTCATGAAAAAATTACAACCTAGTTTACTTGAAAAAAATTTGGTTTTTAAAAAATTTTTCGGTTATGATAAACTTTGATAGCTTTTACTATATATTTATTGCAATCAACATAAAAAGTACTGTAAAATGCTATAAGGATAAGGATAAGGGAAAAATAATGATCACAATGTCGATTATTCTCACTCCTGAATCCAACCAAAAACCACTGGATAATTCTTAACCGCTTCATTTCCTGGAGGGGTTCATTTTTATAGAAAATTATCTACAATTTTTACTTTTTTTCAAATAAGTCCAATATATTTGGAGATATTTGAAAAAATGTAGGAAATGGTTCTCACTTCTCGGAACCAGTGTTGCTCCCAGGGTTGCCCAAAGGGAAAAAACCGGGGCCGTCGGTGGCCGCAACGGTAGGCGTTGACACAACGCTCGTCGCTGTGTTAAATAAAGGACCCGGGTTCGAATCTAGCGGCCCTGCATTCGTACCCGACATACTTACAAATGGGCTTTGTATCAAAAACACCGCCACCCCGAGGGTTGATATAACCTCTGCTGTTGCGAATCTTCGTAAAAAAAAAGTTTTTATAACGCTAGAATCACTACCATGAGGTCAAATCCAAGTTTTGGCAATTTTCGACGTACTTTGCTCACAGATTGTTTGTTAAAATATGCAGAAAAATGGAGTATTCACAAGAAGTGGCGGATACGGTCCCTTATTTAAGACTATAAAATCACTAAAAAAAATTGGTTCTAATCCGTGACCTACCAACATGGTCAGGTTACAACAGAACTTAAAAGGACATCAGAAAAATTTTCTTCATCCTTTCATTTTAGTTTTTATAAATAAATCTTTGGCCGGGGGATCAGTTTTTAATATGGATCACAATAGTAATAATAAAGCAAAGTTTGAAAAATTAAAATAAAATACTTCTAATTAATTGAAAAGTAGGTGTAAAAAGAAAATGATTTCGGTACGAAAAATAATATTATACTCCCTGAGTTAATAAGGATTAAAGAGATAGTACAATCTGTTTACCGGTAAAAGGACAAACAGGATCTAAGATCCTCCAGTTCTTCCTTGATTTCTTCAAGTGGAATCGAAAGATGGAGAATTGTGAGTACTTCTATGCACGCACGTTCCATTTTTAATTGGTACGCGTGGTAATCACATGGTTGTTCCCTTGTTCCAACTCAAGTTTGAATTTTATGTAATTATCAATCGTTTTTAATTTCAGGTCTGTTATGTTAGTTTTACTTTGACAGTGAAATTCACACTGATGAACTTAATTGAAAAAACTTAGGTCGGCTATCTCCGGCTAGTCCGCCCTGCCCCGCTGGTTTGTATATCATACGCATTTTTGAATATTCAATAATCGATTTTAAATATAATACTAAATTATTGAAGGCAATATATTTATACATAATTCAGTAGAGTTCGTGGTCCGATTGACCGAATAATTTTTTCAATTAATTAATTTTTATGTAAGGTATGGGGTGAGATAAAAAAGTCAGTGTCACGAGCGGGATTCGAACCCACGACCCTCAGCTAGATACGCCGCTGCTTTACCATTTGTACTATTGTGACTTCGATCCACTCGGAACTAATCTCCCAACTCAACCCCACCTTTCGAATTTTCCCTCCTTTTTGCCATTTTCAAATATCGTGTAATCTATTCGATTCTCGGGGATAAATGAAATGGCCAGGGAGAGCTTTCTTAATACAGGTCTGGTGTTGGAGGTCTGTCTTGAATTTTGGGATGGCTCTTCGTCATCGATTGCAATTTGTTTGGCGATTTGATATTTGGGGTAAAATGGGAGGTTGACGGACGTGTTGTGTCATTATCACCAGCAACCTTGGATATACTGAGGGTTGAGCCATGGCAATTTTCGATGCCGATAGAGTTTTCAATTTCTCGATTCATTTTCTGTCTAGTTTTATGTGGTGAACCAGTCTTTGGGCCAGATTGGTTTTGTAGATTGATATTCTTAGGGTTATCGGTAAATTACAACCAATGCCTGGTATTGGGGCACTTTCTTGTTGGTATTCTTGGATTAGTTTGTTTGTTTGCCAATCTCCCTCATAAAGGGGTAAGAAAAATTAAGTTTAAGAGAGAAGTTAAATAACCCATAATCGTGATTATGATAATAATGTCACAGAGTAAATGGGGGAACAAAGTTTTTTACCTGTTTTCTTTTGTAGGTGAGGTTTGCAAGGGATCTCGGATCTCGTTTGTTGCACTGCCGTTTTATGAACACTGATAAATTTAGTTGATAGTAAGTCGGCTGCCAAGTCAAGTCCGACCTGCCCCGCTGGTTTCTGAAGAAGTGTTTCTGAATATTCGATGGTCGAATATAACACAAAGTTATTGAAACAACTAATGACAATATATTTTTTTACATAATATTTTGATCTACAACTTAATAGTAAACTCAGCAGTGACAGGCCTGTGGTCGCTGTACTTGTGTTCCAAGCGTTGGTATTTTTTGGATGTAATGGTTTTCTGGGTTTCCGATTTATACAAAACCCTGTCGGTCCAGGACGGCCTTCTTTTGTCGCTGTATGTATCAGACTCTTTTTCGTATTTAAAAGTCGGTTTGAAGGTGATTTCCGCTTCGTTCCAGTCTTTGAACGCCGTGCCGTTTTTCTGAGATGCCTTGAGTTGGTCGTGGACTAAAAGTTCAGACAATTTGTTTTCATTGATTTTCTTCACGATGTCCTCTCGTTCTTTGTCCACCCTGAAGTTCAGGTCGCCTAACCAAAACATGAAATCATTCGTCAGCCCTTTGGTCTTGGTCAGGATCCGGTTGTAAGTGGAGATCCTCTTTTCGTTCTGCTCGTAATGAGCGGGAAAGTGAGCTGAGATGGTTGTGAACCCCTTTCCGAACAATTTGAAAGAAGTAACGATACCTCCTTTATTTCCGACTTGCTTGAGAAGACCTGTCTTCACCTCTTCCACCTTGACGCTGGAATTGTCCAGTGAGTCTTTGTGCGTGTTCAGGAGGTATACATAAGAGCCTATACCAAACATAGTTTGTCCCTTTACCTGATAAAAGCAAAAGTAATGTAAACAATGTTTCAAACATACGCAGAACCAACATACCTTAATATAATTTTTGGTTTTGAACTTATTTTCCAGATCGCCGGTCCATTTTTCTCCATGAACGACTTTTTGAAGCGCTCCACTCACCGTAGGGCTCACCATCTCCTGGAATCCTAGTAGGATCAGATCGTTTTGTTGATTTGGTTGACTAGGTTTCTACAAGTAAGACGGTTGTTACATTTTATATATTATTATTAGAATCGACTTACGAGGCCGATCAGGTCATCGATGCCTTCCATAGGTTCGTTGCTGTCCACATTCCAAGTGCCAACGTGAACTCTAAAGAAACGATATTTCCATGATTTCTCTTTTACTTTAAGTCTAATTGTATTTTAAACAATTCACAACGAACAAACCACAGAAAATATTTAACTAAGAGATGTTGGTTTTCTTGAACAAGTAATCGACTTACTTTAGTTCGGTGACGGTGGCAGATAACACACCGATTAACAACTCGCTGGCAACAAAAATCGTTACGATATGCATTGTAAAATGACTGTATTTCTGTTTCCCGTCAAAGCTTATATGTGAGTGTACTCGACACCTGGGTTCACAGGAAGACAAACGCACTGGCTACAACTGTGTACACAAATTACGGTATAAAAGAAAGAGACAGAAACAGGCATGCACGTAAAATCTGGAAAATTTACACTACACAATACGCTTTTGAATTATACTGTTTGAATTGTATCGTACAAAAGCAAATACTGGGCGGGGTTCATGAAGACCTACGCCAAATAATGTGTTTTGACAATTATTGCGCACACAAATGTACAATTTTTACGTTTTAAATATTGAACAATCACTTTTTAGATATTCCAAGCTGGGAATTGGATAGTCGTTCAACATTTTCTCGAAATAAAAGAAAACGAAAAAAGGAAGACTTTATGTCGGGAAATATCTTCCTGAAGTCTGCTACGTTATCACTTGTATCCTTGATAAGAAACGACACCACTATCTGCCCTTTAAGTCGTCTAGGTTGAGCCCTCTCCAAATGGTCAGACCTTTTGCTAGTGGACGACCGGAACGGTCTGACCTCAAAGGAGGTTTAAATGTTTAGATGGTATTAGGCATAATGAAGATTGGGCATGGTTGGTTAGAGATCTCCAGGTTCCAGGTTTGATAAGAGGTGGTTAGAATTGTGTACTGATAGATAGAGATGATTTAGGAATGATAGGAGTTGACCAGGAATGATTAAGTATGGTACAGAATCAGTAGTGAAGATTACAATACGCGTTTGAAAGAAAACACCAGCGGTAGGTAGGTCAGAATGAACTAGGACAATCCAGAATCGGGGCATTCGTACTTGTGACGTGTCAACCAAACCTCATACCTCCGTGTGATTTTTCCTTGCGTCAGTATATTTCTTTCTTTTCATATTGTACCTTTATTCCACTGTCTTATGCTATTCACCCCAATACCATCAGTACCTCCTATCCAGATGTTACCGCTTCTAACCTGAATCCTACCCAAGCTACTACCAACTTCAAAAAACACGGACTTTATCAAAAGCTGAACTTCTACAATAAGGAACGACTTCCACTCAAGTCAGATAGTTAAGACTAAACTGTTTTGATACGACAAATCTCAACTACTCTTTACAAAACTGCGACCACTTAACACATACGGAACGGTGGAGTTCCTCCAGGCAACCGAATCCTGCCAATCGGACTTCAGACAAGTTGTCCTTATTACGTCGCTAACCGCTCCATCCATGACCTCTACCTTCCTTTTGTACGAGGTGATCTGATCCCGCTTCCAAAACTTCCACACAAACTTTTGTATCCATCCTAACCTAATTGCCCAAACGTTTTATACTCTTTTCCATCCCTAGAAATTATCACGTCTCCTATGAACTCGAGACCATCATATCCCTCTGGCCAGAGGAGGATCTGCAAGACACACGTAGGTCCCGAACCTATACTTGAGATAAAAACAAATGTAGAATCCTCCATCGCAGAATACATCCAACTAAAACAAAAGGAGTATTGGATAAAATCTGTCAGCGCTAGACACCGTGAACCTGTGTTAAAACAACCCTCACCAAGACTGACAACAGACAAACTCATTGCTGCAGTTAGAGAGGGCTAGATTCAGAGGAGTGTTAAGACTATTAACCGTTCACTGGCATCTGAGAAAACATCTACAAAACATGGGCATAACGATGAACCCCTCTGCAGATTATGCAATGAGGAGGAAAAAACACCGACACATATCATCTTCGAATGCGAAGCAACAGCTCAATGGAGATTTAACCTAAAGTACGGTAAAACCCTAGGGGATGAAATTGTAGCAGCGACAGTCAATGACCCGATACTTGTAAGAAGAAGGATTGAGACTATTGCACTGAACTAGAGAACAAGGAAGGTATAACAAGCCAGAAGGTTGCAGTGCCTGGGGAGCAGAAACCATGCTTCCTAGTATCCTCATCACAATCACCATGCCCCTTAATCCGTCATATTGAATGCATGTCCTCCAGGTCCATTTTTATATCCATGTTACAAATGATTGTTTTATGCGCAACGCGATGATACTCCCGTGGTTTAGTGTAAATGATGGAAAAACTAGTTATTAATAAATTATGAACAATAACGTTTATTAATTTTCTATGAACACAATGGTTAATATAAATATGTACATTTAAAAAAATATATATTAAATGACTGAATAAATAAAAGTGTAATTTTATTAACAAGTTAGAATCGATCAGTATCCAACGTGATGTAAAATTGAGCGATGACGGGAGTGTGGTCGCTGAGGACGTAGTCGGTCAAACTTTCGTAGGAGATTTGGGTTATGTTCCTCAGGCTGTCGGACTTGTACAGGATGCGGTCCGTCCAGGAAGGCCTCCTTTTCAAGTTGAACCGTCCGGTTCGCGGTACCATTTTGAAAGTGGGCTTGAAAGAGATCTCGTCCTCGGCCCAGCCGACGAACGCAGCCCCTTCCTTTTGTGCCGTCTTCAGCTGGTCCTTCTCCAACAGGGCCGCCGATTGTCCTTTGGCGAGCATGTGCTGTATCCTGTTGGCGTCGAGGCTTTCCAGGTCGTCCAGCCGGAAGTTGAGATCGCCCAGCCAGAATAGGAAGTCGGCCGGCTTCCTGCAGGAACTTTTCCGGGACGAGTCGATCGTCTTGAAGTCCTCGATCCTCTTCGCGTTGCCGTCGTCGTGGGCCGGGAGGTGGGCGTTGATGACGGAGAAGTCGGTCTCGAACCAACGGAAGTTGAGGACGAGGGCACCCTTGTTGCCCAGGGTCCCGCCGAAGCCGGTCCTCACTTTGATCTCCTCGACGCTCGTCACGTCGAGGGCGTACTGGTGTTTGGACAGGGCGAACACGTACAGACCGATGCCGATCATCGTAAAAGAATTCACCTAGAGAGAAAACATAACTGCGAATTACATAACTCTTTAACAGATCTGTATTTCAATCATTGGAAGGCTGAAGAAGCTTAAATTGTTTCATAATTGAGAGATAAGATATTAGAGACAATTGAAAGGAAGCTTAAGCAAAAAGAACAAGGAAGCTCCTTGTAAAGTAGGATTTTTTGATAATAAAATTAAAACCCTGCTGTATTTTGTTTTTGTACAAATTATCCCAACAAAAACCTAACCGTGAAAAAAGAGCCAAGTTCTAACCCCCTCCAAAAAAATAACCTATCAATGTAATGATATCTACACTGTGGCAGCCCGATCTTTTTTTGTCAGTAACCAGAGAGAATTCAAAAGAAAAGATAAAAGTTCCAGACTCCCTCCCCAAAAAGTAAATAAGTCACACCATCGAAGTAGTGATATCTACATTGTGGTCAAGTCCGTCCTTAGTTTAGTCCATAACCTGAGAGAACTCAAAAGAAAAAAGAAAAGTTCTACTCTCCTTTCCAAAAAAGTGCTCCAATTTTTACTATTTTCTAAGCGATCTTAAGCTTAATTTATGTTTCAAATTTCAAAAGCCCATTTTTAGATGCGCCGCTCAGATACAAGCTCGTAGAAAAGCAATAGTATCGAATGAAAATTCCCGAATAACTGCTGAATTGTTTTTTATTTATAAATTCATAAAGGAATTTATAAAATGTCATTGTTGACAATTGGTACTCTTTAAACAGAAGAAAACCCTAATTAAATCTTAAACAATTCAATTGTTTTTTAATTAAGTGTAAGCGTAGAAATGTTGCACTCCCATGAGGGCAAACAAGGAAAATAAAGCTTATTAAATCTCATCAAATAAATAATTGTTTTTCTTTTCTCTTTTGCCCTCCCAAGTTTGGACTGAACGACAACCGACTAAAACAATGCCTCATAAATATAAATAAAAACAAGACCTATTTTTTCAGCCGGTTTGCTACTATCATTTTTCACTTATCTTTTGTTTTAAATAACGAAAAGTATTGGCCCTCCAGCCTCTGGCGATCTTTCTGAAGGAAGCCCACCCATACCTCAACCATTCACGCTAATAAATACAATCATTCAAGAACACAAAACGCTCAACATCTTAACCTTGTTTGGTGGGTCTGTGGGGTAGTTAATATTCCGCCAAAACAAACCCTATTGAGTCAAAATATTCCTTGTAAAAATTACTATTCGACAGAATTAATTAATCACCAGTTAAAAAAAGTAAGTATGGTAACGAAGAAAACAAAATACAGCTTATGACATCGACAAAATCTAATTTTTCATTTATTCTGTTTGAAATAGTTTTGTATAGGTGTAACTATTGGTGCAGGTATGTTGCGTTTTATAAGTTTTTTTTTTCTTTTGATTGTATATTACAACTATCTTCATTTTGGTATCTAGTAATAGTTTATGAATATGTAATTAAGAAAACAAGAGTGGAGAAACTACCCACTGGTAGTACTCCTAAGCGTTTTATAAGTAAGTTTTTGTGTCAGTGTGTTTAATGTGTATTGTTTTCTTTGTATATGTGTGGGCGTGAGTGCAGATCTGCTGCGTTCTGTTTTGTGTTTGTGTGGTTTTTTGTGTTACTATGTTTAATGTGCGTGTTATATTTTGAGTGAGTACCACATTGATTGGGTTTTTTTTTATTAAGGGTGGATGTAGGCTCAGATTTTTTTTTTTTAATATGTTTTTTGAGTATAAATACGATGTTTTTTGTAAGGGTGGGTTGTGTGTATGTGTAGGCGTGGGTGCAGATGTGCTGTGTTCTGTTTTGTGTGTTTGTTTTTTTGTATTACTGTGTTTAATGTGCGAGTTATATGTTGAGTGAGTACCACATTGATTGGGTTTTTTTTATTAAGGGTGGATGTAAGCTCAGATGTTTTTTTTTTTTGTAAATATGTTTTTTTGAGTATAAATACGATGTTTTTTGTAAGGGTGGGTTGTGTGTATATGTAGGTGTGGGTGCAGAAGTGCTGTGTTCTGTTTTATGTGTTTGTTTGTTTTTGTATTACTGTGTTTAATGTGCGTGTTATATTTTGAGTGAGTACCACACTGATTGTGTTTTTTTTATTAAAGAGTGGATGTAGGCTCAGATGTTTTTTTTGTAAATATGTTGTTTTGAGTAGAAATACGATGTTTTTTGTAAGGGTGGGTTCTTAATGTGGGTTGTGTGTATGTGTAGGCGTGGGTGCAGATGTGCTGTGTTCTGTTTTATGTGTTTGTTTTTTGTATTACTGTGTTTAATGTGCGAGTTATATTTTGAGTGAGTACCACATAAATTGTGTGTTTTTTGGTGGATGTAAGCTCAGAATTTTTTTGTGTAGAAATACAATGTGTTTTGTAAGCGTGAGTTGTTGAATGTGGGTTGTGTATATGTTTGTGCGTGGGTGCAGATATGCTGCGTTCTGTTTTGTGTGTTTGTGTTGTTTTTTGTGTTACTGTGTTTAATATGCGTGTTGTATTTTGAGTGAGTACCACACTGATTGTGTTTTTTTATTAAGGAGTGGAGTAGGCTCAAATGTTTTTTTTTGTAAATATATTTTTTTGTGTAGAAATACGATGTTTTTGTAAGGGTGAGTTCTTAATGTGGGTCGTGTGTATGTGTAGGCGTGTGTGCAGATGTGCTGTGTTCTGTTTTATGTGTTTGTTTTTTGTATTACTGTGTTTAATGTGCGTGTTATATTTTGAGTGAGTACCACACTGATTGTGTTTTTTTTTTATTAAGGAGTGGATGTAGGCTCAGATGTTTTTTTTTGTAAATATATTGTTTTGAGTAGAATACGATGTTTTTTGTAAGGGTGGGTTCTTAATGTGGGTTGTGTGTATGTGTAGGCGTGGGTGCAGATGTGCTGTGTTCTGTTTTGTGTGTTTTTTTTGTGTTACTATGTTTAATGTGTGTGTTATATTTTGAGGGAGTACCACATAGATTATGTGTTTTTTATTAAGGAGTGGAGTAGGCTCAAATGTTTTTTTTTTGTAAATATATTTTTTTGAGTAGAAATACGATGTTTTTTGTAAGGGTGGGTTCGTAATGTGGGTTGTGTGTATGTGTAGGCGTGGGTGCAGATGTGCTGTGTTCTGTTTTAAGTGTTTGTGTATGTTTGTGTTGTTTTCTGTGTTACTGTGTTTAAAGTGCGTGTTACATTTCTATTGTGTGTTTTTTGTAGAGTGGATGTAGGCTCAGATGTATTTTTTTGTAAATGTGTTTTTTGTCTAGAAATACGATGTGTTTTGAAAGGGTGAGTTGTGTAGTGAGTCGGTGTTGTTTTTGGTATGAGTGCTTCATACCTGTTGTGTTTAGTGAGTGTGATGTTTTATGGGTGTGTTTCTTATGTGATGTGTTTTTGTTAAAAAGTGGTTGTTGGTTCAAATATATTGTTTTTTGATAACTGTAGGTAGTGTTTTTTGTGTTAATGGGTGTGTTGTGTGTTTGCGCGTTTATTGTGCTGTATTGTGTATGTCACTTAAATAGCAAAATCAAGTTATCAGTAGAAAATGAACGACAATATTATCTTATGTTTTTATTTTTTAAATTAAATTATGCTTGGTATCTTTTTTTTTTTTTTTTTTTTTTTTTTTTNACAAAGTTCCTCTTGAAAATTTAAGTAAGTTTTCTTTTGGTTCTTTAAATACTGACAGATTTGGCACATACAGAAACGTTGCCCCTAACGAGGTTTAAATACTGTAAATTTTTTCAAAGCGAAGCAAACAATGCGATGCTATTTTTTTTTTTTTTTTTGCTTTATGATCTATGCATATTAGCCATGGTGATGAATTCTTATGTGTGTACAAATTGGGGGGGGGGTTAAGAGGCGACGGTGGGAATCGAACCCACGACCGCGGCGTGAGAGTCTCTCATGCTAACCACTCGGCTACCGCGGTCCCCGACTTTCTTGACATTGAAATTTTCCATTTACACTCTTTCAGTTTCTTTTGTTTTGTGTCTGTGCGTTTTTCCCTGACTCACCTTGAAATAATCATGTTCCAAGAGAGTGTTTGTGATCACTCCCGACCATTTGTTCCCCGAGACCAAGTTTGACAAGTAGTCCCGCACAGAAACGGATATCTCCTGGATTCCAACTATGACCAAGTCCGGTTTGCCGCTTTCTTTAATCGCCTCCTAAACCATTAAGGGTTGAAGTTTATTGTTTTTTAACGGCTACGTAATTAAACAATATAGCATATAATATGTTCAAAGCAAGGACTTACTAAGCCGAGCAGTCGGTCAATCTTCTCCGGTGGGTATTGGCCGTTCACGTTCCAAGTTGCTATGTGAATCCTGTCAAAAATAAAATTTTATCAATTCAAATTTACCAATCAGACAACTAAAGTTAATAATAATAATAAATAATATTTGGCCTTCAGTCTTTATAAATCATAAACTGTTTATCGTAGGCTTCTTTGCATATAAATTGTCGTGCTTCTTAAAGCAGTATTGTCATGGTTTGATTTGAAATACAATTTATGTAATATGTATTTATAATTTCATCCGCGACCCCAGATCTATTTCCAGAGTTTTGCAGTTTACATATGAAATCTGGGCTGTTGGACTAATCGAGGTGTAGTAGTCCTCACAAAAGAACACAACGCACAAACACTCCCATGCACAACATACCTGCACCAACCGCCATACCTACTCAGGAAAAAGACAAATAGATAAATAAGCACAACACACACAAATCAATTACACACAACAAATAACACAAATTGATAAACAAACACAAAACATCTGTACCAATATCCACACTCGTACTCAATCCAGATAAACAACAAGCACAACAAAGCAAAAAACACATTTGCAACAACACAACACCTTCACACATAAAACACCACACAGATGGAACATACACAATATATGAACGGACACATTCCACACCTAAACAAAAAATGTAAGCATAAATGGATAAACAAACATCACACACAAGAAACAACACAAATGGGTAAACAAACACAAAACACAACACATTTGTACCAACACCCACACTTGCACTCAAACCCATATACAAAAACACATTTGCAACAACACAATACCTACACACATAAAACACCACACAGATGGAACATACGCAACATCTGAACCGTCCATATTCAACACCTAAACAAAAAATGTGAACACAAATGGATAAACAATCACAACACGCACAAAACACTTACACACAAGATACAACACAAATTGTATAAACAAAAAGCACATTTGGACCAACACATCATGTACACACATAAACATAAAACACAATACACATGGAACATACACAATAAATAATACGTCTAAAGCCACATCCACACCTTAACAAAAACACAATACACCTGCACCAAAACCACACTTACACTCATAATCCTACATAAATAAATCAAATGTATGAACAAAAAACACTAATAACACACATGACACACACTCACACAAAAAACAATACGTCAGAAGCCCATCCACACCTTAACAAAAACACAATACACCTGCACCAAAACGACACTTACACTCATAATCCTACATAAAAAATCAAATGTATGAACAAAAAACACCACCCATATAAAAATTTCTAAACAAAAAAACACATTCGCACCAACACATCACCTACACACATAAAAATAAAACACAACATACATGGAACTCACATAATAAACAATACACCTGAAGCCACATCTACGCCTTAAAAAAAACACAACATAACTGCACATAAACCACACTTACACTCGTAATCATACATTTAAAAAATCAAATATATATACAAAAAAAACACCAACAACACACATGGAACACTCTCATACAAAAAAAGTCAGAAGCCACATCCACGCCTAAGAAGAAAACAGAAACATAAATGGATAAAAAGTAAACACACAACACAATTATATGGTCATGTTGGCCAGTAGACTGGATGGAGAGATAAAAAGGAACATTTTAATTTAATTGCTTAGATTTTAATGCTGCTTGACGGCCTTTCGTTTCGTATTCGAACAATCTAATTTTAGAAAAAATTTATTTTTCTCAAAAAGAAGTTATTATATTGGGTTGTCCGGAAAATAATGCAGGATTTTGGTATTAAACAAAAAAAAAGAAACTAGTTACTTTAAAGCAATGTTCTTTAATCAAAATAATTTCCCATACTCTCAATACATTTCTCCCAACGTGTTGGTAACTTATTAATTCCGTCTGAGTAGAATTCAGAATTTTTAGAATTGATAAAGTCAATAAATGCATTTTCCAGTTCCGTTTGATTTTTGAATATTATATGTTCTAAGTAGTGGTCCAGGTGTCTAAAAAAATGGTAGTCAGTAGGCGAGAGGTCCGGAGAGTAGGGTGGGTGAGGCAAAGTTTCATAGCCAAGCTCCAATAATTTTTGTGACGTTACACGTGACACATGTGGTCGAGCGTTGTCATGCAACAAAATGGGCCCTTTCCGATTGACCAAAGAGGGCTTCATTACTGCCAATTTCTGATGCATGGTATTAATTTGGTTACAGTATGATTCAGCATTGATGGTTTCGCCAGGATTTAAGAAGCTGTAGTGTATTAAACCAAATGAAGCCCACCATACCGTAACCATTACCTTTTTTTGATGAGTTGGGGGCTTTGGAAAATGTATTGGAGCTTCTCCTTTGTCGAGCCACTGTCCAGAACGTCTAGTGTTATCGTAGAGAATCCACTTTTCGTCACATGTAACAATTCTGGCCAGAAATGGGTCATTTTTGTTTCGACAAAGAAGTGATGCACAAACATCAAAGCGCTGATTTTTTTGGCGATCGTTTAATGAGTGTGGAACCCAATTTTCGAGTTTTTTCACTTTTCCAATCGCCTTGAGGTGGTCAGCGACGGTCGTTTTACTGACTTTGAGTTGCTCTGCACCCACCACTGATCGCAGAACATCATCATTAAGAGAGGAAGGCCTTCCACGACCTTCTTCATCTTCAAGGCTGAAATCTCCCTCCCGAAATTTTTTAAACCACCTTTGCACAGTGCACTCATTAACACAACCCTCGCCCCAGACTTGGTTAATGTTTCTAGCCGTTTGGGCTCCGCTTCGGCCGAGTTTAAACTCGTAAAAGAAAATCGTACGAAATTCTCGCTTTGACATTATAAGGATGACTGAATTATTTCCAAGTAGCGGAATGCTACAGAGGTAAACAAACAATATCATTTGGAAGAGGATTAATAAGTGTTGACATTCATACAAATGAGTAATCCTGTAAACGTAAACAGAATATTTTATATAGATTTTTTTTAATGAAAACTTAAAATCCTGCATTATTTTCCGGACAACCCAATAATAGCAAAAACTTATTTTAAAACAAAGTACCGATTGTGAAGGGCTGTCCACAAGGTTCAGCATGCGGGTGGTTTTCGGATAATCCTATACGATTCACTTCTAAAACTAAACTGTACATCAATCCCTCCACTCTGTACCAACACCCCACCTACATAAAAAAACACACATGCTTTTGCATTATTTATCACTAGTACACGCGAAAGATAATATTGACTTTATCTTGCGATTATCGTTCAATGCAACACCACGAGCAATTAATGTGAGGTTAAAAAAATATAAATGTGATAAACATAAATCAAATTTACTGGATTTGTACAATAACACTATATGATATATCAATATTTTTAGATCGAGAAAGATTAAAAAAGGTAAATATTTACAATCCTTAGGTATCAATTACAATTATCAATTAGATTTAAAATGAGTAAGGCTCTATTAAGATCGACAAAAATTGATTAGAGCCTGGGACTTGAAGCATTTAGATGTATGACGGCGTAATTGTACCAGTGCTACTCACAGATATGGGCAATGTAAGGGTTTTCGAAAGAGTTTAAAGTTTATCCTCAATAAGGATGACCAAACGCTACAGGACTATATCGTACGATGCGTTTTACGTTATAGCTGATATAACGCTCATAATTCTGAAAGTAAATAAATTAAAACGTTTGTTTCTTATTTCGAAAGGATATCAATGCGATGGTTGATTATGACCAGACAGTTCACCACAATAATTGGGATGTCTCAGGCGCCATAGTGGAAATAGAACAGTTAAACGGGGCAATTTTGTTGCAGAACCAGCTATAACCGTGAATTTTATAGTTTATTATGGAAATACAAAAAAATATGAAAGGATGTGTCAGGATGGAGTCGAAAAACTTAGAGATGTTTCGGTACTGTTCGAGATAGCCAGGAATGATTATAGAGGTTTAAAGACTGTTTGAAATTGTAAGAGGAAGGTTAGAAAAAGTTTTGTATTTACAGGGTTGCTCAGGACAGATTAAATAGGGTTAGAAATGGTTCGAAAGGATTGAAACGGTTTTGAGATAAATTGATGTTGTTAGATATGGTCTGGAATGGTTAGAGGTGGTTGGAGGTAGTTTAGTTCTGTTAGAGATGGTCAGAGATGATTTTGGAGAGATGACGTCATATTTTATGTGATGTCAGGAAGATTAGAGGTAGTTTTGTATTGTTAGGAATGGTCAGGATGGATTAAATAGGGTTAGAAATGGTTCGGAAAGATTGGAACGGTTTTGAGATAAATTGATGTTGTTAGATATGGTATGGAATGGTTAGAGATGGTTGGAGGTGGTTTGGAACTGTTAGAGATGGTCAGGGATGATTTTAGAGAGATGACGTCATATTTTATGTGATGTCAGGAAGATTAGAGGTAGTTTTGTATTGTTAGGAATGGTCAGGATGGATTAAATAGGGTTAGAATGGTTCGGAAAGATTGGAACGGTTTTGAGATAAATTAATATTGTTAGATATGGTCTGGAATGGTTAGAGATGGTTGGAGGTAGTTTAGTTCTGTTATAAATGGCCAGGGATAATTATGGAGGCTGGGAGATGATGTATTGTAAGTGGTGACAGGAAGATTAAAGGTACTTTTTTATAGTTAGGGATGGTCAGGACGGGATAAATGGGATTAGAAATGGTTCGGAAAGATGGGAACGGTTTTGAGATAAATTCATGTTGTTAGATATGGTCTGGAACGGTTAGACGGTGGGACATGTTATTGAAGAATTCGTCTAGGCGGTGAGACCATAAAGAGCCCTGCAACCCTGTCGTATCTGGGAGTAAGAATGACACCTGGTCTAAAGTTTGGCGCAAATGCCCTGAGCGCAAAAGCTAGGGTGCCTACAAGGATCGCAGCTACCCGCTCCTTAGGTGGTGCCACGTAGTCTCGTTCAAAACGAGACAGGTCTACTACACAGCGCTGTGCGAGTCTGTAATACTGTACGCGCCACCGGCGTGGACTCGTGAATTGCGGGCGAATGCTTGAGTGTGCCCAGCGCGC